AGATAATTTATATTAATAGATTCTAAATGTAGATCGACATACATATTTTATTAAACCATGGCATAGATACATTAGCAGAAAAAATTGTCATGATTGAATGGTTGTTTTAATGTGATTTCTTATAATAATTCAATTTTATTATTTCATTGATTATAAATTTAGAAACCTCTGACAAACTTTTTAGAGCAATCTAAAATATGTTTTATATTAAATTTAAAGAATAATATATCAATATTTAAAAGGCAATGCATGCTGTCGGGCATTTTTATTATTAATGGTTTAATTTGAACTTTATCCAGTTTTGTTTTTCCATGGGATTATATTAAAGAATATACGCTAAAAATAAACAGGTTTCGAAGCCACTTTTTATTAAAAACAGAAAAATGTCAATGTTGACCTTTTAGTGCAATACAGATTTTCAGCAAACGTAAAAGAATAAATGCTGAAAAATAGAGAGAAAGAAAGAAATTGTGTTTGAGGGCAACATTTCATTCTTTTAAAAAATGCATGTTTTTAAATAAAAGAATAGCACTGAAAATGTGGTATTGACTTTACATATGTTACATTTTAAGTTATAACATAATTTGTGTAAAGTTTCAACTTGAAACCTTTAAGTATAGATACTTTTGTTGTAATTAGGTGTGGAAATTCTTGAGTGTAGGATAATAATTAAAAAACAACTTATGGAAAAATTTTGACGTTTAGAGGTTAATTGTAACTTTTTAAGGCTATTTTCCTTTTGAGTGCGTCATCTGGTGGAGCTCAATAATAGTATTATTGTAAGGTTTGTCAACAATACATTTAAAGCATATATGCTTATATACTAACTACACATCATTTTTTAATAAATAAGTTGTTTTTTCACAAATGAAAGGAAGGCAGAAGTTCCAATCGACCTATTTTGTTCGCAAAGTTTCAATTGCACAGCACGTTATTTGTGTTTCGCGTTGCACCTAAACCTACATCCTACTTAACTTTTACAAACAGGGTAATGCAAAAACATTGTTCAAAAGTTATGGACCCACACAGCACACTACGTCCATTGTACGTCCATTAAAGGTCCAAACTAAGTACATACGTTCATGGACTTTGAATGAACGTCCATGGAGTTTACGCTTTCCCATGTCCTTAGGATGTTCCAGAAGAACGTCCATAGGATATCCATGGGTGGACACAAGACAAGAAACAATAAGATGGATGTTCAAAGTCTAATTTAGGACTCCTGCGGTCGATAACGGCTACCATACTAAATACATTTTACAAAAATATGCAACAAAACAATTTTTACAATTAACTTCATTTAGAAGCGATTTGCGAAACGCGAAATACGAAAAATGTTTTTATTGGTCCATTTGATTTGGCGGGAAAAGCGTTTTGACGTTTCGACAGATCCTGCGAATTCGCAAGATTTGAAATCTGTGGGCGGGAATCTTGAGATTGATCCAATATTTTGCGAAAATCGCACGAATTTGTCGTGATGCGGATGCGCATTAATCAATTCTATCTTCGTTTCAATAATAAAAAAGCGCAATTGAAGACCTTGGTGCAAAAACCGGACAAGTCCATTTTTGTGATAAGCAAACATGTTTTATTTTTTTATTACTTAACATTGTAATTAACACATTTTTGCTTATCACAAAAATGGACTTGTCCGGTTTTTGCACCAAGGTCTTCAATTGCACTCCTTCGTCACCAATGGTATAATTGCCACTGGTATAATTGTTCAACCATAATAAAAACACAAAATCTCAATTTACATAAAACAACAAATAGAAAATGTTAACCAAGTATGGCAAATATCGCCTGGGGAGAAAATTAAGTCCCTAAAATACCATGGCAAATATCACCTAGTGAGATAAAAATTTCCCTAAAATAGTTCTATATGAAATAGGACTTGCGAAATGCGAATATTCGTATTTCGCATTTCGCATCTATATAAAACCGCTTTTAAACTTTATTAATTGGTTTGGTTTAAATAAAAAACGCCGGTCAGGAGTAAAAAAATTCGCGCTAAGCCGGCTCGGCTCGATCAAAGGTAAAGTTATTGCATTTTTTAACAGCTTTATTTGATATTTCAAAATTTATAAACATATACTTATAATTATAACATAACCACAATTATATTCTTCACTAAACTAGTATATTCTACTTAATGTAGCCAATTATAAATTTGGGGTCCCTAGAATTTGCCAACTAAACTCCCAAATTTTTTGACAAATTCCTAATAAAAAAAAGGCAGTCATGATTCAAATCGTATCATGGTAGTCAGTGACATATTATTATTAAAGGCAATGTCATTGGATTATTGGATTATTGGATTATTTCAAAATGTTAAACACCAATATTTTTATTTTTGAATTATTTGTTTAGTGTTAAATATAAAATAAAACTTAATTAAGTCATTTTGACATCATATAGAAGTCCACTTCCAACGTACATTGTATGTACATTAGGGTGGGTCGATTTTTGAATTTTAAAACGCCTGTGTCAGGAAAAGTTGTGTATGGGACTAAAAGAAATGTAGGTATTTTATTTTTTTTTTTAATTTAAAATTTAACCCCCCCGCTGGCCCTTCAAAAATTATAAAATAAAAAAATTCAAAATCAAATTTGCCTGTACTAAAAATGTTTTCGTAATTGTTGTTTATAAACGCAAAATAATATATTTTTATAATTGGAATGCATTAACAGCCCCCGCCCGATTTATTTATAATATTTAGACGTATGTATTTTTTATTATAGTTTTACTATTATTGTATTTTAATCACCTTTTTGTATAAATTAAATATTTAATATTATAAAATATAAAATTTTAGAAGCCGGTCCTGTAATCCTATAATTATTTAAAAAACGTTTTAGTCCGGGCCTGTTCACAGAGCAAGTCACTTGGCTCTGTGAACAGGCCCGGACTAAAACGTTTTTTAAATAATTATAGGCCCAAGTGTCATCTGTGTTTTCGTTGATTAATACGGAGGTGTTAGTGTGCTTATAAATCTGGTAGTGTAAAGTTATTAGTTCTTCGACAATAATTTTAGTACGTTTTTATTTTCAATTATAAATATGGCGGCGGGCGTAAAGCGTAAGGTTTCTACTCGGCAGTCGTTTCGCGATCCCGTATTTGGTGAACCTCGTGACTTAAGTGAAACGGTACCGCCGTGTTATGGAGATGTAATGCGGTATTTTCTATTTGTACAAAAGAATTTAAGTGGACACACCAGTAAAAATAAAACTGTTGCTGAGATTTCCAAACTGGTAGTTGACAAGGTACAAATAATTTGGTGGAAAGCCAGTTTGCCTACTATATCAAACCAGCAATGTGTTGCACTACTTAAAAAATATCACAAACAATTCATGGATCTTAAAAAATCTCTAAAGAAAACAAGTAGTTATGCCCGAAATAAATTACAATGTTTCCAAAATGAATCGAATAAAAAGCTTTTCGATATTTCGACATGCAAATGCAAAGAACTTTTATCGTGTGCTTGTGTCAAGTTAAAGAAGGTCCCTAAATTAGAACATGAATTTTTAAAAGATCAGAGAACCACAAGGATAATGTTTATGGGAAAAGTGGATCCCAAAAGCACTAGAGTTTTAAAGCAAAGGCTAGAAAGAAAAGGAGAAACAGCTAGCTGCAGTGGTTTGAAGTCCGAGGCAAAAACTCAACCTAACGAAGTTTTTTCAGACTCATCAGCGCAAAAGACATATCACTTGCCCTACCGTCACTTGCAAAAGCAATAGATCGAGCAGGATTATCGAGTCGTAAAGGTGCAATGATAGCCAGTGCAGTCCCTGAGGATGTTGGTTTAATCACAAAAAGTGACACATCTTACGTAATCGATAAGTGTAAATTGGATCGCCAAAGAAAAAGAGCTCGGCTCGACTTACAAAAAAAAAGTGCAGAGGACGGCAAAATTTTACAAGCCCTTTATTTTGATGGACGCAAAGACCGCACCTTCCACATAAAAAAAGCAAGAAAGCACATCATCTAGAAAAACTGTTGTTGAAGAGCATGTAGTTTTAATCCAGGAGCCTGGTAGCAATTATTTGGGACATGTAACACCTGAAAACGGGACGGCTAAAAAACTTGCATCAAGTATTCTTAGTTATATTGACAAAGCTAGTATCTCTACAAGCGTCTTTGGCTGTCTGTGATGAGAAAAATAGGGATGGTTGGATACGTACAACAATAGAGTCCAGAAAGAAAATGCCCAAATTTAGTACAAAGTCAGAATATGTGGTGAGCACAGAATAATCTAAAATGCCCACATGGAAGGGTGGTTGGGCGGGCAGGGGTGGAACTCGATGGCAGCCACCTCCCCGTGGTGAGTTCTGGGTTATTTTGAGTTTAAGTATTGCTCAAAATAAGCGATGGGCTGCCTTGTAACAATTTTGTTAATTTTAAACAAATTATTTACATTTTTGGATGTGTGGCGGGGGGCCTAAATGTACTTTAAATTTGAAAAAAAAAAATTTGAGGACTCAAGAGACCCAAATAAAACATTCCCCAACGCAGGCCTATAATTTTTTTAATATTTATATCTTTTTATTTTTGGGGGCCCGGCGGGGGGTCTAAATTAATTTTGTAAATTGAAAAAAAAATATTTTTCAAAATAAAAGCCCAACCTACAACTTTTCCAACCACAGGCGTTCTAATTTTATAAAAAATACTAAAAAACGACCCACCCTAATGTACATTGTATGTAGGTACATTTATTACATAACATCGTATAGTGTGCCAAAGTTACGTTATATGTACGTACATGGAACGTTAATATAATATTATTGGACATACTATGTATATCCATTTGTACAGATATGGATGTCCTATGGACACCATATGGACGACTTTGTGCTCTATGGGGAACAAAGAAATTATTCGTGAAATCGAAAGTAACATTTTAATTTTAAAACTGTTGCTGTGTCTTATTACTTTTGAACCATCCTGTATAACACAAATCTGAAGATACAATTTTATCACCACCATTATCCCTTTTCTTCCAGGCTATTGCCAGGGATTCAACATGCTGGCCGCCCTCATTTTACAAGTGACCGACAAATGCGAGTCTGAAGCTTTGAAAATGATGATTTACCTCATCGAAGGCGTCCTTCCGGAATCCTATTTCGCCGATAGCTTAAGAGGGCTTTCCGTCGACATGGCCGTTTTCAGGGAACTGCTTAGAACAAGGTTGCCACGTTTGTCAAAGCATTTGGACACGTTGCAGAGTGCTGCCAAGGATGGAAACACTAGCTACGAGCCTCCGTTGACTAACGTTTTTACTATGCAGTGGTAAGATTATTTTTTGATTTTTTTTTGTTTTCTATGCAATTTAAAACAGAAAAAATTAAGAATTTTGCATTATTATTGAAAGGTCAGTTTCTTTCTTGCTAGTAACAGACGTCAAGCTGACATTTGGTAATGCCAACTGTAGAATAAATCCCTAAAGCTTAATTTTCATGTATCCGTTTGTCCGTTATCTGTTTTTCAATAAAATGTTCTAATTTTCATGCATCCGTTTTTTAATGACGTTTAACGGATTGATTTGGCGACAAATAGAAATTAAGGACCAGTATTTTCACTTTACTAAATTTACCAAATGCTTAATTGCCATAGTTACAATTATGTCAACAATTGTAACTTTAACAGTTAGCTGTCTAATAAATTTAAGGGTAGTTAAATATAAAAAGTATATACTAGCCTTAATATACATTAAGAAAGCAGGTCCTTTTAGTTCTGGTTTTAATATTTTTTTGTTTGTCTTTTCTTTTTTTCCGTTATTCTTATTAACTCAACAGTAGAACACGTGAAAAACAGATGTGTAGTGACGGATGAGTTAATAGCTATTTACATACCATGGGAGGAAAATAGTGCTTTTCCTCTCGCGAATAGTTTGATGCCCGACGCAAAGCGAAGGGCATTAAATATTCAAGGGAGGAAACGCATTTTCCTCCTAAGTATATAAGTTTTTTCTACTACCTTACTAGAAAACTTAATTTTCCTCCCTCTTTTTTTTTTTAACAATTTTACATTATTGCAAGAGTTTTTTTACCTTGTCTAGCCCTATTTGATTTTGTAGGAAAAAGATTTCCTCCGCGCTTGTCCAACCATTCTTTTAACAAACTATAGGTTTCATTTTCATATCGCTCTTTCGATTTTTAAGGAAGGAAATTAATTGCAACTATTATTGCCTCTTTAGCAAGATCTTGCGGCAGGTCGTCTTCGCTAGAACTCATTTTTAAAACGTACGAAGAATTTCAAATTTATGATAAACATTCTGACAGCTTATAAAAACTGTTATCTTATATTTAATGCCCTTCGCTTCGCGTCGGGCATCAAACTATTCGCGGGAGAAAAAGCACTATTTTCCTCCCATGGTACGTAATACGTTACGTTTTAATACATTTATTGTTGGTACCAGTGTGCAAAATTATGACGTCGTCGATGACGTGAACGTCGTTTCCTATAGTAATAATTTACCCTGTTAAAAATCTAAAGTTACCCCCCGCCCCTCAAAATAGGGAAAGGGGGTGGTTGTCAAAAATATGTTTAAATATGACCCTCCCACATCGCTATTAGTTTACCAAAATTTCACAAACAAACGCGTTAATTGTCATTGTAGCCAAGCTAATAAAAAACTCTAACTTAGTTTTGGCTAACGTACTATGCTCCACACCTCAAAGTCCCACCACGTGACCTCGTACGGAACGCAGTCTTTTGAAAATTTGGCATTTAAGGCTTTTCAGCTATGTATCTGTCAAAGTATAGAGGTGTGGAGCATAGTACGTGATTGTATAAATTATAATTCGACATTAGTTTTAAAATGTTGGCAAATAGCAAAAATAGTATAAAGAACTTATCTTAAAAGAGATTTTCTCGCATTTGTCCTAGTAGGTTTGTACGTTGGCATCGTTAAATTGATAAAGACACATTTTTAGTAAAAAATGATTTACAATTTTATTTTACAACAGAACAATTTTATTTTAAAACAGAACATCGACTGTCCAAAGATTCCACAAGAAAACGCTTATTGGCTCTGCTGACAATATTATAGCTTTTTTGATTATGTATTCCTTAACTGTATTTTTTTTTTAAAAGTTCATCAACCAGAAGTTAATCGTAATATTTACTCCGTAATGTCCAAATTTTCCTGTAGTTTGAGGCACGTTTATCATTAAAATTGTTGTCCATAAATTACTGTCTAAAAATTAATTAGTCAAAAATTACTAATTTAATAGTTATTAGTGGCTGCTTTTTCACTTGTACCATGGTTAACCATGGAATACCATAGTATCCCAAAATTTAAAAGCCAATTCTTATGTAATATTGTCCCCTTATTCCGAAAATGTCGTCAAAAGTTAAAAAAAAGTAGAACAGTTTTTGAGAAATTTTGCATTTAATATGGAATTAACTATATCTCAAAAACTGCTCCACGTTCATAATTTTTGGTACAAGTGAAAAAGCCGCCACTCATAACTATTAAATTAGTCATTTTTGACTAATTCATTTTTAGAGAGTAGTTTTTGATAGCTCAGACACATATCAGAGTAAAACATATTTGGTTATTGTTTCCACATCTTTTCTGTTGAGCCAAATTTTAAGTGTTTGATATTCTTTTTCGTATCGATCCTTGGTCTTTTCTGGCAATGAATTTGAACTTAATGCTGCCGCTTCTGCACAAATATTTTCTTTGGTATCTTCTTGAATATCCATTACGTTCACTACAGTTTTCTTGATAAAAGCATTGGTTTTGCTAGCTTAACGTTTTTAATATTTGACCATGGCACTGTCAAATTGTAACAACTTTACTGTTGTTTTTTATGGGTATTATGAAAAGTATAGAACAACAATGTTGTTACAACATACGGCCGATATTGCATATATATGCCTAATATCGGCCTTATGTAGCTATATAAATCTCATTTAAATGTATTAACTACAATAAATTTGGATTTAACAAATTCATTTCTCTTCTGTTATTTTTGTATTTATTGTAATTTGTTATCTCATGCATTTAGAGTAATTTCCTGTCAAAGAAAAGGTAAACACACAATAGAAAATCAATATGTATATTTTCGTACCAATATTTTTCGTGATGCGAATAGAAAATTATTAATTTCCGCATTCAAATTTACTTCGCCGTATTTTTTTATAAATTGGAAAATGTTTCAATAAACCTACTATAAATGGACATCAAAGGTAAATAATACATTTTAAAACTGGTTAAAAAATAAATCAGTTACTTAAATAAAATACCTACAATTTCCTTTATGAATTCTTGTAAGGATTTTATTTTAATTCTGTCAGCAATTTCAAAAGGGAATCCACATATAAATCCTTCTAATTCCACGAATTTGCTTTATTAAAACACAATTCGTCCTTTTAGATAAATATACTATGACTGGTTTTGTTAGTTAATGTTTTATGAACATAGGACATAGATAGGAAACCAAATTTAATTAGCGGAAACGGTTTTATTGCATTTTTAAATTTATTTCATGAACCAATTTTCCTACCAACTCCGATTGAGTTACCTACTCTCTAAAAATGAATTATTCAAAAATAACTAATTGTCATAGCGAAAAAGCAGCCACTAATAATTATCGTCAATTGCAATTTGTATCCTAAACATTTAGCAGTCAATTTACATGTAAAATTGTTTCCTGAATCCAAAAATGTCGTCTAAAGTTAGAAAAGTAGAACAGTTTTTGAGATATAGTCAATTTTCCATATAATATAGTATTGACTATATCTCAAAAACTGCTCTACTTTAATAATTTTTTACGGTATTTTTCGGATTTAGGGGACAATTTTACATAATAATTTGCTTTTAAATGTTGGGGATATTTTTGACCAATTCATTTTTGGAGAGTACCTTCATAACACGCATTTTAAACAATTTTTGTTAAAACCAAATAAAAAATTTGCACAACCAAAAATGATAAAATACAGAGTTTCATTAAAATATGAAAGTAGCCTATAGTTTCTAAAATACAGATAAAGTTGAAATAGTAAATGTTCTTATCCCATAAATATTCCCTTCGTGTTCCATTTTATCGACTTCTGGCACAAAAGCCAACCCATGAATAAACAAACAGACAGCGAAATATACAAATTCCACTTTATTTGTTTTAGGTTTCTTACGTTATTCTGCAACTGCCTGCCACAACCGACCGTACTGAGAGTGTGGGATCTGATAATGCTTGAAGGAAACGAAGTGTTATTACGGACGGCACTGGCCATATGGCAAACATTGGCCGAAAGAATAATGACCGTGAGAAGTGCTGATGAATTCTACTGCATCATGGGTGTGTTAACCAGAGAACTTCTAGAATCTGATTTACTGGATGCCAACTCCCTAGTCAAAGCTGTCGTCAGCATAGGACCACTAACGGAGCTTAAACCCCTTCGAGAACATTACATGTACAACATCAACCCTTGGGGTGGTATACAACAGGCCGTAGTGGACAAACAATTAAAGTTGTACCCCAGAGAACGACTTGCTCTGGATATTAGCGCTTTAAAGAAGCAGTATGTTAAGTTGAAGCAAAGGCAGAGGCAGGCTCATATTATTTTTAGTGCCGCTATATCCCGGCAGCCTCCTACTAGTGCCCCTGTTGCTATGAATCATTTGTTGCTAGGGAAGAGTGCATTGGTGCCTGCCAAGAGATTGCCACCTCCAAAAGGTTAGACATTTTAGGGACATCTATAAGTTCTTGAACGGTTTTAGAATATTTTTAGAAAATGTAGACATTTTATATATTTTTAAACAAAATTTTACGTAGCTTTAGGATATTCCAGGACATTTACAATTTTTTAGAACCCTTTTAGATACTTTTACATTAAAACAATAATTAACTAAAATATTTAAGGAATCCAAACAAAATATAACTATAAACTTTTTTGAAGGTTCCATTCCACCCGTACGTATTATAACCCCGACGACATTGCACTGGAAAGACGCCCAAAAGAACGAAGACAGCTCCAGCGATTCCAGCGACACTGAACTATGCGACGAAGGTGGCGAACCTTCCGACAATGAAGAACCATGTCAATTCGTCCATGACAATCCAACTTCAAATGGTACAAATCTTATGAAAGAAGACAATATTAAACCACAAATCAGTGCCACAAAAATGTTAGAGGAGAAAGAGGAACTGGAAACTGCCTCTACTAGTTGTAAAGTAAAGATTGAGCCTGCAGAATCCGACGATGAAAACTTTGAATTCGAGCGATTTCTAGCTGATAGAGTGAGATGTTTAAAGCAACATAGTCTCCCTGAGGAGGACGTTAACCTCGAAACTGAAAAACTAAGGCTTGGCAGGAGAAACAGTGAGAGAGCTTTGCAAATTATACAAGAAAACTCCTTAATTTTACATAGAATATTGCAGTGTCAATCTAGACTATCCCCTTCACCGCCGCTTGTTGATGCCAATGAAGAATTTCTCGATATAAGGTCAAGTCTATCAGAACCTGAAATTAAATCTTCAATGTCTCCTGCATCACCTGAATATGGTAATAAGTATACAAGCATATTGGAAAAAAGTAAAAGTCTCGACGAGAAATACAATAATCTAATTTTAAATCAATCCAAGACAAGTACGAGTAATGAGGGCTCTATTGTAGAGGAAACATTAATTAGTTTGAGCCCTTGTAAGGATACAGCAAATTTAGGAGATCTTACAGTAAATTTAGATAATCCAACTGAAAATTTAAAGGAAGAACTCATCGTAGAAAAGCCTAAAATACTAGAAAGCGATGATGCTCTCAGTTTTAACATAGAAGAGTACAAGCGAAAACTATTTAAAGACTCCTTTGCTCTTGAAGATAATAAGTCTTTAGATTTACCAATTAATACAGAGGATATTCCAGTAGAAACTTTTACAAACATAGAAACAAATTCTGTAATAGATTCTTGTTCTTTAGATGAAGAAAATGTTATACTAGATTTATCAAATACTACAAAAGATCTTTTAATTAAACCCTTTAAAAATATTGATAAAATATCACCAATGGATAAACTTACTTTACAAGACTTGCCAAAAACTACTGAAGTTGTTTTAAAAGAAGCTTCTGAAAACTTACTCACAGAAAATTTGGCGTTGGTAGAAGATAATACGTTTTTAGATTTGCCAACAACATCTAAAGATATTCTGGGAGAACATTCCCAAAGTATAGATAACAAATCAACAATTGATAGCAATAGTTTATTTGAAAAATACGACTTTAAACCATTTAATCTGGATGACTATAGAAAACCAGTTATAAATAATGAAAACATTAAAAATATAGTACAAATAAATAATGAAGACAAATCTTCAAATAACCTAGAAAATAATTACTCTGACTATATTTCTTACAAAATAAACGATACCCTACTAACTATTGCTGACGATACAAAATTTTCAATTGATGAAGACTTAAATAAAGATAATAATGACATAGCTGATAGTACGTTTAACGTTAGTTTAGATGCCAAAGAAACTAATTTAGATGATAATAAATTCATAGACGTTACTGCTGCAAAATCCGTACTTGTAACAACGCATAATGTAGAAGAATTACCCATGTTGACAATAGAAGAGATAAAGCAAAAATATTCCAAAACAAAAACCCAAAATTCTTCGTTTTACGAAAAGAGTTTTAGTGATGATCAAAAGGAGACATTCTCCAGGTTTACTAACTTTAAGAAAATATATGATAATGAAGAAAAATCAAATGATACAGAAGATCCTCCTGATGTTCCTATAGAGGAAATTTCCCCAATTAACAGCAAGTCAATTTTGGATGAAGTAAAAAATGTTGAAAATGATTCCGCCACGTCAACCTGCTATAGCTACTTAACATCTCCAGTAAGCGAGTTTTACCCACAACTAAGTAAATCTGATGATGAAGTCAAGGAAAATCTAAATGATAAATATACAATTGACTATACACGAACATTACAATCTCCCTCACCCGATGTGTCAGGTGACAAATCCCCCAGTAAGGTTTTTAACCCTTTTCCTGTATCGCTGAGCTCAAGACAAAGTAAAGAGGTTCCGCTAAAGTTAGGTCTGTACAAAAAGTGACATACTATTAATCTATTCTTATAATGTAAGTGCTTTTAAAGAAGAAAGACTGCAAGTTGTTAACTTATTGAAAAAATCCCGGTGATTTCAATCATATAATATATTATTGAGTATTAGGTATTATATAGTTATTATGTTTATTTTGAATAAAAAGTATTATGAAACAATAATTAAAATTAAATCTAATTCGATACTTTTAGCAGCTAATTCTTTATTCTATTAACTAGTTTAATGGGTAAGTAATAAAAATATTTTGTACAATTTTAATCGCAATTTTGATATAATGTCAAGTTGTTGATAAAAGCGCTGTGCCACGTCCGTTCTATACATATTGTAGAAAATATATTTCCTTATTATTGTTAAAGATAATGTTGGTTTAATAAATAAGTTTAGTAAACATTGCCTTTTATTAAAAGAAAACCCTTTAATATAACAAAAATAGTCTTTATTATTATTATTGGAAGTTTAGTAAACATTGCCTTTTATTAAAAGAAAACCCTTTAATATAACAAAAATAGTCTTTATTATTATTATATGGAAACACGTGTTGTTTATGATGAAGAATAATACAGTGAAAAAATAAATACTTAATAATTATATTCAGGCAAAATTGGGGGACAAGTGCACACCAAATGCTTGTCGCCGTAGATGTCATCGATTCTGGCTACAGTGGGCCACACTTTAATTTCAGGTCTTACAAATGGAGCTGGGAAAGCAGCTTGTTCTCTGGTGTACGGTCTCTCCCATGAACTACTAATAACTTGCTCTTGCGTATGGGGTGCCATTTTAAGTGGGTTTACTCTTATATCCATGTTACCGTCTTCGATGTCCTTAATTTCTTGTCTGATGTGGATAAGAGCATCGCAGAATCTATCCAACTCTTGCTTATCCTCAGATTCAGTAGGTTCAATCATAAGTGTGCCAGCTACAGGCCAGGACATCGTGGGGGCGTGGAAACCATAATCCATTAAACGTTTAGCAATATCCGCGGCTTCAATATTCGCTGTTTTCTTAAATTCACGTGTGTCAATTATAAACTCGTGAGCTACCAAATTTGATGACGCGCTCTTGAACAGAGTTATGTAGTACGGTTCCAATACTTTAGACATGTAGTTTGCGTTTAATATGGCGACTTGAGTGGCTTTTCTTAAACCTCTTGGTCCCATCATTTTGATGTAAGCCCAGGATATGGGTAGAATAGCACTGGAACCGAATGGAGCTGCACTTACGACTTCAAAGGATGTTGAGTTATTGCCCAATGGGTTAACTACAGGGTGACCAGGTAAGAAGGGAGCTAGATGAGATTTAACACCAATGGGTCCCATACCAGGACCACCGCCTCCATGTGGTATACAGAAGGTTTTGTGGAGGTTCAAGTGGGATACATCGCTACCGTAATCACCAGGTCTGCATAAGCCTACCTGTGCATTCATATTGGCACCGTCCAGATAAACTTGGCCGCCATTTTTGTGGATTATTTCACATACTTCAGCCACAGTATCCTCAAAAACACCATTCGTAGATGGATAGGTAATCATGAAACAAGACAATCTGTTTCTGAACTTCTCAGCTTTCTCTTTTAAGTCCTCCACATCTATGGTACCGTTTTGTTTAACTCTTACAGGTTCAACTCTCATACCAGCCATTTGGGCACTGGCTGGGTTAGTACCATGCGCACTTACGGGTATAAGACAAACGTCTCTATGTTTATCGCCTTTGGCTTCATGGTAACATTGTATGGCTCTCAACCCAGCGTATTCACCCTGGGCGCCACTATTAGGTTGGAAACTGATTTTATCGTAACCTGTTATAGCGCATAGATCTTTTTCCAACTCCGCAAATAATTGGTGGTAACCTAAAGTTTGATCTAAAGGTGCAAACGGATGAATATCAGTAAAATGTTTGAAGGAACATGGCATCATTTCAGTAGTTGAATTAAGTTTCATGGTGCAGGAACCAAGAGGAATCATTGAGTGAACCAAAGAAATATCTTTGTTTTCCAAAATCTTCATGTAACGCACAATTCTGGTTTCAGAGTGATGAGAATTAAACACTGGATGCGTTAAAAACTGCGAAGTTCTTTTAAATTCGCTGTTATAAATCGATTTACTTCTAACTGCTGGGTTGTCAACTAAATTTTCGATTTTATGTGAACTTTCAAATATATAGAAAAGATCGTTTACGTCTTGGAATGTGACAGTTTCGTCCAGTGAAATGCCTACAGCACCGTCATCGTAGTAGCGCAAGTTGATTTGTTTTTCTTCTGCTCTGGTTTTAACTTCCTCTAAGTCTATTTTGGGTTGTACTCTTAAGGTGTCGAAGAAAACTTCATTTGTAAGAGTGTTTCCATCTTCTTTGAGACCGTGATGAAGACACTACGATGAAAAGTCAGTACGAATGTAAGTAATTATAATTAAAACAATTTGTGAAACCTTACCAAAGTGAGATTGTGTACTTTCATAGCGATATCTTTAAGTCCTTGTGGTCCATGGTACACAGCAAACATGGCGGACATATTAGCTAACAAAGCTTGTGCAGTACATATATTACTGGTAGCTTTATCTCTTCTTATATGCTGTTCACGAGTTTGTAAGGCAAGGCGATATCTAAAAGGATATTATTTAAATAAATATTGATATAAGATTTTGGAAATATTACCCATCTCTGCCAGCTGCATCACGAGTTACACCTATCATTCTACCGGGCATAAGTCTTACTAGGGATTGGTTACAAGCAAAGAAACCTGCATGTGGACCACCATAACCAAGAGGTACACCCAGACGTTGAGATGTACCTATGGCGATATCCACACCAAATTCGCTTGGTGGCCGTAAGAGAGTCAAGCTAAGTAAATCAGTAGCACAACAAACCAATGTACCATGGGAATGAGCGTTCTCAGCCAATGTCTCAAAATCCTGTACGTTTCCCTCAGTGTCTGGATATTGGAACAATATACCAGCAACATCTCTGTTGGATAGATCGGCTTCAAGAATATCAACGACTTGAACCTCCAATCCTAAAGACTGACACCTAGTTTGTACCACAGATATGGTTTGTGGATGCAACCTTTTGGAAACCAAAAGCTTTCTCCTCTTATTTTGTCTGAAGCATAACGACAGAGCTTCGGCAGCAGCTGTTCCTTCATCTAATAATGAAGCATTTGCCACTTCCAACCCAGTAAGTTCAGAGACCATCGTTTGATAATTTAAGAGGCCTTCTAATCTACCCTGGGCGACTTCAGGTTGATAAGGGGTGTATTGGGTTGTCCAACCAGGGTTTTCAAAAATATTTCTCATGATTGTATGCGGTACACAGCAATTATGGTAACCCATACCAATGTAGGATCTCCATATTTTGTTTTTTTCTGCTACTTTACGTATCCTATTAATAAGTTCATATTCACCTAAAATTAAGTTTGTTATTATATTTTTCAGATAAGATAAAGGTTACATAAAGACCCCCAGCCAAGATAAAATTGCAAGTTCGTGAACTTTAGTACCTAATTATCAACGTTTTAATTAGTAAATAATTTTGTAATGCTTTTGATGAAATAATTTCTTAAGTTGCCAAATTGTTTTTAAAAATTTCCACATACTTGTTGGTTCTTCTATGTCCAAATTCTTGTTTAAGCTTATGTTTTTTGGAACTGCCTTGTTTGTCAACTCATCTAAGCTCTAAAATAAAAATATATATAGGTACCTACTTATGTATTAGGTTTACTCAAACATGATGAAGTAACAAAATGTGTATATTAAATATATTATATATAATTAATTAAATTTATTCATTATAATTTCAATATTCAAGTCATAAGACCTTAATTAATAATTAATAATTATTATACTAGATCCCGAAGCAAAAATCAGAATTTTTCATTTTAAATAAAGGGTTTTCTTACTTGACAAAAAAACGGTATTTTACCTTAATATGTTACTACCTATATATTAACAAAAAAGTATATTATAATTGACTTACTTTAAATCCCAGTGTATCCAACATAGTAATAATATCACTGTCTCTAGGTCCAATATGCCTGCTTGGAAACTCATCTTTATGAGGAAAAAGTGGTTTAACTGGCCCAGCACTTAAACACCTTAAATTCGTAATACATTTTACCCCGTTAAATTTAACCTCTAAGGGTTTTGCGCGTAGAGCAATTTTGTACATTTTTAAGCAGTAGCAGATTTTTATGCTACCCAATAGTTTCTTAAGTGCTACTGCTAAAGTAAATGAGTAAAAATGCTATGAAGTCATATTATATTCAATGGGGTCGTAAGGTTAACATAGATAATGTTAAGTAAATTTGTTTATTTTTAAAATTATGTGGAATTGGTCAACAATATCAATTAAGTAGTCATAGACGTATTTTGTAGATTAGTATTATTTTAATCTAGGTTTTTTAAGATTTAATAGTGTAATGCTTAAAAAAAATTTATTTATGATTATGGTACAAATTAGACTTATAAATAAAAATCTCCTACCATTTTATTATAAAAGACCTAATATAAATTCTCTCAAAAGATAGTACCTACATATTATATAGTACCTACATACAGGGTGTCCCAAAACCCAGCAAGCACAAACGTCTTCAGGACGCCCTTGGACCAGCCTTATGTCCCAGAATGGGATGATCCCGCTGCTTAGGCACGCTTGATTATATCGTCTGTATCAACCTTTTGGAAATTAAAAGCTTTCTCCTCTTATTTTGTCTAAAGCTTAACAAAAAATCTTCAGCAGCATTTATTACTTTATCTAATAATGAAGCATTTGAGACTTCCAAGCCAGTAAGTTGAGATACCATAGTTTGATAATTTAAAAGGCCTTCTAATCTACCCTGGGCGACTTTAGGTTGATATGGGGTGTATTGGGTTGTCCAACCAGGGTTTTTAAAAATATTTCTCATGATTGTGGTAAACATCAATTTTGGTAACCCATACCAATTTAGGATCTCCTTATTTTGTTTTTTTTCTGCTACTTTACGTATACTATTAATAAATTCATATTCACCTAAAATTAAGTGTGTTATTATATTTTTCAGATAAGATGAAGACCCCCAGCCAAGATAAAATTGCAAGTTCGTAAACTTTAGTACCTAATTATCAAAGTTTTAATTAGTAAATAATTTGTAATGGCTTGATGAAATGATTTAAGTTGCCAAATTGTTTTTAAAAATGTCCACATACTTGTTGGTTCTTTGATGTCCAAATTCTTGTTTGAGCTTATGTTTTTTGGAACTGCCTTGTTGGTCAACTCATCCAAGCTCTAAAATAATAAAAAAAATATATTGGTCCCTATGTCTTAAGGCTTGTCTAAAAATGGGAATCTCAAAAAATAGGTTAAGAATCCCTTAAAAACCTATTTTAGAACAATTTTTTGTACAAAAATAAAAAATCGTGACATTTGACAGTAACTGTTTTGAGTGTGCCATCTCGATGACCAGTACGCTTGACATTTTTATTACTCCTCTTGTTTTTGGGTCTCATTTTAAATAGTAAATATTGGTCTTTGACCACTTTCCAGGTTACATATGCGAATGACTCGCCACTACAAGAACTAGTGCTTACAGTCCGCGCGTTATAACTTGGCGAAGCTCGATGCATGTGGGCGTAGCCGTTGGCAATTGTTTACTGGCTACCAGCGGTGTCGTAGATTAAAATTAAATTTTAAAGAGTGAAATAAACGAAATAATTTGTAACTATTAAATATATATATTTAAGTTTTATATTATCGATACTTTAAAATTTAAAATTTTATTTTTAAAATTTTATCCCGGTATGAATAAAACATTGGTACAATTACTTAAATAATAATTAATTAATATTCTTCTATAAAACTGTCGTCATCGCTACTATCATCTGAATCTATATTTATTAAAAATGGTTCTACATAATCATCTAACACTATTTACCGGTCAAGACATTTGTCTTTCATATAGATATTGCGTGGTGACATCTTTTTATCCAATCCTCTTGCGATATTTCAGCAAATTCTTCTTCCGCAATTTTTTAGCATCGTCCAATTTAAAAATGACTTTTCTCCGAGACAAATTGTTCTTAACTGTTGCCCAAATGAGCTCAATAGGATTGAGATCGGGGTGGTAGAGTGCATGTCACCTCGACAGTGTGTCCATGCTCTTAAGAGCAAAACACCGTACTTATATTATTTAAATTTGTGTTTATGTTTTTTTATAATTTTATATAATTGAGGTTTTAGCATACCAGGATGAAATATTTTTTTTTTGCATTAAGTAAACCAATCTATCATATCTGCTGTGAGTGCTGGGTTAATTTGAACACCATAGTGCGTTATCGACGACAATAGAATTCAAAGAGTTCATCTCATGATGATAGTCGCCTGTTTTAAAACTAATTAGTGCCTGATTGAAACATTAAGAGGCAGTTAGGTAAAAAACCCATTTCTCCGCCAGCGTGAATTATAATTATAAAACCCATTTCTCCGCCAGCGTAAATTATAATTAAACGATTTCCTTTTGAAATAGTGGAAAATAAACCATTGTTACCTACTTTCGTCGTTTGATTTCACAGCACTCAGATTCTCTTCATCAGTTTTATTATTTTTAAAATAATTAAAAACATTAGAAATAATTTTTCGAGCTTCACTTGACAATATTGCTTCTTAGATTATTTTCGGTAAAGGTTCATATTGGTTATTTACGTATTTAGGTATATTTATATAATTAAGGTGGGTACGTTTTAAGATTATAATGCTTTGAACCTTTACTTAAAAATTGTATTTTATACAGGTAAAATATATTGTACGCATTTATATAATTATAAGGTACCTTTTAAGATTATACTACTTTGTTACCTTCACTTTTTTAATTTGATAAGTTTTTTAAACTAGTTTATTAATAATTTTGCGATACGATGAAATTTGGTACACTTTCTATACAATAAATTGAACAAATAGCCACAAATTTTAAAAGTAAATATTGAATACGTGCCACTGCTTTGCCAAACACATGTTAAACTAAACTTAAAGGGCAGTACCATTACGAAATTACGTCAACTGAGCATAGGGCATTCTCGCCAAGTTATAACGCATGGACTGTACTTGAATTTTTGCCGGGAGTGGACATATTTGGTTTTGACCGGACGCCAATAACAGCGCAGTATTGATTTGTAATCTGGGTTGCCTACCTACATTCGTTCGATAGAGCAGATATACTGCGCTTTAAAAGTTAAATAAATAACTACAATTTTGAGAATGCAAAATAATGGTAAAAAATTCATCTTTTTTAGAAAACAGAAATAAGCCTAAAATTTGATAAAAAATATCTATAAAATACAACAAATTGAATTGTCATTATTTTCTTTGATAAAGGTTATCAAAACTTTATTAAATATATTAACAATAATATTATTATTTTAAACAACTTATAATTATGTAATGGGGTGTTCTTTGCAATATTTGCATTTTTGTATTCTACCACTACCTAAAATTGATCTTTTTATAACATAACATTTGCACAATCCTTGCTTTTTTAGTTTATTACGTCTTAAACGTAAACGATCTTTAAGATCTTTTTTTTGAAATTTGGACAGTTTTCTTTGAGATACTTCTGGATCTGTATCCATTTTTACATCAGGTTCTGGTCTTATATTTGAATTACTCGTACTTGTACTCGGTATATTGTCTATTTCCATTGGTTCTGCAGCACATGTTCTTCTAGGTCTTTTAATTGTTTTTGGTATTCTATCTAAGGAAAATTTACGTTTTCCTTTTCTGTTTTTGTTAAGTGGTTTAAATACTTCTAAAGAGGGTTCTTCATCCATTTTAACAGGATTTATTGGTATATTTTCTTGATTATTAGTAAGTTTTTTCTTGTTTTTAGCTTTTTTTCTGAGGGTGTCAGGAATCTCAATTATATCACCAATATTTGCAGTCAAATTTAATATTGTTTCTGCTAGAGTAGATTCTTTTTTTTCTAGGTTTTTGGGTATACTTTCTTGATTTTTAGTAAGTTTTTTTTTGTTTCTCTTTCTCTTTTTTGCTTTTTTAGTAAGGGTGTCAGGAATGTCAATTATTTCACCAATATTTGCAGCCAAATTTAATACTTCTTCTAAAGAGGATTCTACATTCATTTTAACAGGTTTTATTGGTATATTTTCTTGATTATTAGTAAGTTTTTTCTTGTTTTTAGCTTTTTTTCTGAGGGTGTCAGGAATCTCAATTATTTCACCAATATTTGCAGTCAAATTTAATATTGTTTCTGCTAGAGTAGATTCTTTTTTTTCTAAATTTTTGGGTATATTTTCTTGATTATTAGTAAGTTTTTTCTTGTTTCGCTTTCTCTTTTTTTTACCTGGCGTATCAGGAATTACAACTATTTCACCAGTATTTGGTAATATTTTTGATTTATTTTTATTTTGTTTTTCACTAGTTGGTTTTGAAATCTTAGGAATTTTTCCTTTATTTTTATCTGGTGTTTTACTTGTGCTAGGCTCTGGACTTGAAGGAATTTCTTCTCCAATATCAACATCATCAACATTTATGGATGAAGTTGTTAAAGTTGGGCAACTTCCTAACCTTTTTTTAATATTTTCATTTAAAGTTACGGGAACATCTAAAGTTAAGTTTTCAGGACTCAAACTTCTAACCTCCAAAATATCATTGTCAACAATTTCATCATTTTCTAAATTTATAATATCCCCAATGTCATCTTCGTTAAATCCCCTCAAACTACTCGGGGTTAGTGTTTTTTTAACCCTTTTAAATAAACTAGTAAATGTAATTTTTTCATTATCAATATCAATATATTCATCACAGAATTCTACTTCATCGTCAGAATCAGCCAAGTTAAAGAATGGTATATTTACGGGTTCACTTTCGTCTATTTCTATGTACTGAATATCTTCATCTATCCAATCTACGTCTAACCAATGACGTAGGTCTTTTGGTAAATTATAGTTCTCTGGTAAGAAACTACAATTAATATTTACATTAATTAAATTATTTCTGAATGGTAGAATCCTATCATACATCGAACATGTAAATTTTACTATATGTCTTGTTATAACATATATTCTTGATACCATGCAGAAAACCAATAAATTTTGTTGCCAAAAGTGTCCAATTTGTAATTTCATTTGCATATATTCTGCAGCTATTTTTGAAGTTTCTACAATTCTTACCAATAACTTTGCAAGACCCTGTATTCTAACCAAAACAAAATCCAACATGTCTTTTGTTGGTAAATAAACCATTTTTTCTTCACATGAAAAGCGCAAATGATAAAAATCATTTAATATTTTGCAAATATCCATTTTAAAGTACACTCGTAGAGCTTTGTTTATTTTTTCCAATTGCTTGAAATCTTTGTTGGTTCGGAATTTTAGCTTCATCCTGTATGCGAACGTCGAAAGTAAAACTGCTTCTGTGTACAAATGGTTGCATGATAAAAAGAAATCGCGTGCTTCTGTAAAAGTTTTCTTTAACCTATCAACATCTAAAAATAAGTTAAATAATGCTTTGATATATTTAATTATTTAATGTTTACCTATGCTTTTCAGTAAATATTTTGCACTATTAACTGGCGGTGCTGGCAAGTCTCTAACGTTCCATAAATCCATGTTTATTTAAGGAAAAAACATAACAAATAAAGTAAGGTTATACATTTTGACGGACGTCAACGTGCTTAAACACAACGTTGCCAAGTTTTAAGCGCTGTTGTTAGGTGTTTTTGGGGAAATCAAAATAAATTGAGTTAAAAATAATCATTTATTTTTTTAAATAGACTTTAAAAAATCGTAACAAATTCATGCTTATACAATCAATAATAATATATTATGGTTAATCTACGAAATAAATAATTAATATACACGGGTAAATACATTTAAATAAATAAATAAAAATTACTTATTTGGTCTCGACATTTTGTTTGGCTTGGTATCGTTTTATTTTTGCTTTTAAGCCGTTCTCGCGTTCTTTAATCGTTTTTATTTCCGACCGCTCCTTTTTTTTCATGGCTTGAATTCTAAAAAATAAAATTGAAATTTGTTTTTTGTGAACCATTTTATGTCTTACTTTTCTTTTTCCATTCGTATGAGTTCATTTTTGAAAATATCCTTAAAATCTAGGCAAAAGGGCAACCACAATTCAAAAAACGAATTGGGAGGAAAATCTTCCAAAGTTCCAGATTTAGGTTTAAAAAGGTAAAATTTCATTGTGCCAATGAAAAGTTTTTGACATTCTTCCAGTTTTTCCAATTCTACAGTCAACTGTTTGTGAGAATTTTCCAGGAAAATCGTCATTTTCTCTTTGAACGGCTGCAAATTTTCTTCGGTGGAAGCCTCGATTACTTTTTCAGTCCGATTTTCACAGGCTAAAAAGTTTCTAGTTTAGAACCTTGAGTTTCAGTATTTAATCTAATTAATGTACCTATATTTAACTAAATAAAAACAAACACTGTTTTTTAAGTTTTACGAATTTATTTTAATTTAATATGACAATAATTGTTTCGCTAAAAAATATTTTTTTTTCTGAGAAAGCTACTGTGTTAGCAGTGGCGGGTCCGCCCCGGGCCCCCAGTCCAGAAGGGCCCCCAAATCTTAAGTAGTCTTTCTCAGTCCAACAAAAAACTATCTAAAATTTAGGGTTTTAAAATTTCCGGAAAAATTGAGCCGGCAAAAAAAAAACGGTTTTTTTTTCGAAAAAAAAAATTGGGAAATTTTCAGAAAAATTGACTTTTATCTCATTTTATTCAAAGAGTAATACGAAAAAATAAAAAAGTTAATTTTTCTAAAAATTAACAATTTTTTACAGATATCTATATAGATAGCTACGGATAGCTATCATCAATTTAATTTAATTCAATGTTTAGTTTTTTTTTAAATTAAATTAATGTTAAGTTGTTGATTGATACTTTTCTCAATTGTATATATTTAAAAAAAAAAATACCCAAAAAATACATTTTTTTAAGGCCTGGGTTTTCCCCCATTTTTTCGGTTTTTTTTTCGACACTTTAAAACCCTAGTATAGGTATAAATATTTCAGGACCCAGGACCATAAAATATAAACTGATTAAAAAAATAGGCACCCCAGAGATTTTAAGTTTCTAAAGAATAACATGCTATTAAAACAAAAGTCAAAACTAAAAAAGATTATTAATATTTTGGTATCGGGAGCCCCTAGCTGCAATCCATCAGGAATTAGAAAAAATGTTATTATAATAACCTTTTTATATTTATATTTTATATTTTTATTTATAAATAATGGTTAATCTTATACTGTCATAAGTGCCCATGGGCCCCTTGATTTTTAAAATTTAAATTATTAACAAGTTCAAATATAAGTATACTTATAAGTTCTCTGGAAAAAGTTTGTAATCAATTTTCATATCCCTGATTACATTAAGAGTGTTGCAAAGGACTTACTAAGAGGATCTACTAACAAATTTAAAATATCAAAGCATTAATATTTAGTTAGCGAAACAATTGTCAAATTAAATCAAAATAAATTCGTGAAACTCAAAAAACAGTGTTTGTTTTTTTATCTAGTTATACATTAGAGACATGGAGTTTCATTAATTAAGTAAAGGTTGAAAATAAAATATTTAAACTAATTAATTAATTAATTTACCTTTCAGTTGTTTTTCTAATTTTTGCAAATCAAGTTTTAGTTCATCGAAATTCACAGATGCAGCTCTTCTAATATCACCAGGTTCTGGTACAGGTAATGTTAAGTTAACCTCAACAGGCGTTTCGAGTTTTTTTAGGTACAATCTCACAACATAATGAAGCAGTGTTACTTTTGAATCTTTACTTGATTTTACATCTTTTATTTTCGGTAATATTTCCAAACCAAAACCGTCAGCTTGGCCTCTTGTCATATTGCCACCGTTCATGTAGTTTCCTAGGGTTAATATTATTGCTAATACTTCTTTGAGCTCAGGACTAGTTGTAAGATACTAAAAAGTCAATTTTTGTTGTTTTTGTCAACACCAAAATTAGATCTAGAGTCTCACCTGGCAAGCTGTCTGCAAATTTGTTAGAGTATGTCCAATGGTGCTAATGGAATCCTCAAATTCCACTTGAAACATCAGACATGAAATTCTTTCGGCAAAGTTAGAAATTTCGGACAGCTCGTACAAAAATTGTTCGGGTTTGTCAAGAGGTATGTCGGGTTTTGTGGCTAGGTGTTCCTTGATTTGGGATAGTTCTTCTGCATTGGCTCTCTAAAAATAGTATTTTATAGATTTTTAAAGGTAATACATTTAAAAAAAAATTTGCTTGGATATATTTAAGGAACAGCAAATATTTCATAGGGTATCACGAAAATTGCGCTCTACACATTTTTGAGTCTTAGGCTATTAAAGTTGAATTTTATTTTTATGTGTTTAGAGCAAATAACACTTTTTATGATTATTTCATAACCACTTGGTCACACCCTGTACTAAAATAATGCAAAATTAAAATAATTTTTTTTTGTAAAATCCTAAAAATCTTTTGTTTTTTCTAATGTAGACTTATTGAAATTCTTCATGGTCAGATAGGGAATAAATCAAGGATCCAACGATAAGTACATATAAATTATGGCAGCCATTATAAAACCCATAGATGGTGATGGTAACTCAAAATATAGTAGAAAAAAATTGGATGAAAATGTAGTTATCTGTGCTTACATGAAAAAGAAGATATAACCCCTTGTGGAAATTTTTCTCTGAAATAGTATTAATAAGTAAAAGTAAGAGTTTTGAAAGTCTTACTTTCTCTTAAAAACTCTGAATAAGACTTATAAAGTCGGAAAAAGTCAGAAGAAGACATATTAAGTCAAAATAATAGCAAGATTTGGGAGTCTTCTGGAAGAGTTAATAGGACTTTTAGTAGAGAAATGGAAGGTAGCGATAAAACAAATATCCGGAATAATTCAGAGAGGTTGTATTTGATTATTTTAAAATAAAACACATAAAAAAGTATTTATTTTTGCTGTTATTGTAAGCCAAGTTTATTGCATAAATACCTATATAATAACATATGTAAGGCATGGCGGCTCGTCGTATAAAGCAACTGAGGCCGGGCCTCACATGTTAAAATTATAATAAAATTTAAAATTTTCGATACATTACTTATTTAAAAATAAAACGTTTTTAAACTAATTTCCGGTCATTAAAAGTATCAAAACATCGAATAACCATCAAAGTTTAAAATATTTCCTTTAAATTTAGCGCGTACCCATTCCAACTTTAATTCTAAACGCTTAAATCATTGCCCGACCGCATAATAGGGAAATAGTAATCCCAGAAATTTGCGCTTCATATACGTCACACATTGCCGATACAACATCATGCTCCCCACCGCTGCACGGTGCCACCGGCACCCCTGCAAGGCGGGGATAATACGCGAATTTTTGTAGACATTGAGGCCCACAAAGTTGGGCTTGTACATTATTATTTTTAACAGTAACTTGCATGTTGCAAAATGCTCGCTTTGATTTTAAACAAGGACACTCATTATTTAAATGTTTCTTTTTTAAAAATATAAAAAATAAGTCAGAAATGATTTATAGATGATTTCATTGTTCTACGACATATTATTATATAATTAGCACCCAACAACAAAAAAACAAATAAAGATTACTTTACTAAAATTATTGTAGTAAAGTAATCTTTATTAATTGTTTGTTACTGGGTGTTAATTCTTTAATTATATGTCATAGAACAATGGATTATTATAATCCATTGTCAGATTTCATAGGTGCCTATCTGAAACTTGACAACGTTTTATTGTCTACTCCGACCGCAACCGTATAGTGTTCGCGCACCTCGTGCTGGTTGTTTTTATTAACCTATTTGTGATTTTAATTTTCAAGGCGGGTTTTCGTTTTGCGAGTTAACAAACTTATTGTTGTGTTGCCTGAAAGCAGAAAGAAGGTAAGGTAATGCAAAAGCCCTTATATCAAGTAAGTAAGCCGATTTGTTTTTTTAAATTTTATTAATACAGTATTTCCAAGGTTTTTTTTTCGTTTCGCTTAATAAAATTGTTTAGTCTTTGTTGTTGTGCGGTTGTGCCATTATTAATCTAAAAATAATGATTGTAAGACAGGTGAAAATGAATCCCTCTCACGATATTGTTTTGTCTTTGCTTGAAACCCCTTTCGTGAGATGACCTGAAGACCTGAAGACTTCAGGCTGAAGTGGAGAAACGTCAAATTTTGGAGAGTCGACCAACGCCAAAAATAACGGCAGTTTTTAGCAAAAAGAGGGTGGGTCGGGAATGTTCGCTATCATTTCAAACTTCATGGTATGATAGTTACAAATGGCTTTGCGGGAGTTCATATAAACAAAGTTTGTATTGCTGGCCGTGTATTTTGAAGGAATAAATAAAAATCCCACCTCATGCCGCAATTTTTGCATTATTCTAGCTAAATTCTGAAAATTCTCGCGAAAGACCATATATTTTTCTAAATAATATATTTTTTTATTTAGATTCTGAAGTGCTCCGGAAACGCGTGACCTTGAAAATTAAAAAAAAAAAAATTCCTGCGGCGCCATACAGCGGTTTATGGGCCTCACCTTCATCAATGGTCACGAGTCGCCACTGATGTAAGGTGTAATAATTATTAGGGTGGAGCGAAAAAAAATTTTTTTTTCCCTTAGCCTGGGGGTGGAATTTGTAGCCTATAAAAAAAGAAAATTTTTGAAAAAAAAAATATTTTTACTCAACGTCTTGAGGTGGCCCACTGATTTTTTTAATTAAATTTAAGTTAAAAACGAGTGGTAGTAAAAATTTTTTCAAAAGTGTTCCGGAAACTGCGGAGTGTCCTCTTTCTTGCTAATTAACAGTTATGAACTTAAAAATTTTTTTGTGGTCAATATTGTTGTTTTTTAAAAAAATTCCAAAATAGTAACATGCTTTTCTGAGGCAATAGAGCGAATTTCGAGTTGAACACGATCAAATTTGTTTATTTTTAGATAAATTTGAAGATTACAAGCCAAAAATTTTTTTTTTTATTCAAAAGAATTTTAACTTAAATTTAATTTAAAAAATCAGTGGGCCACCTCAAGACAAGGTAAAAATTTTTTTTTTCAAAAATTTTCTTTAAAAAAAAATTTTTTTTCGCTCCTCACTAATAATTATAAAAATTATAATTTTTTACATACGATGCGCTTAACTTGAAGTCTTATTATGACTTTTTCCGACTTAATAAATTTTATTCAGAGTTTTTAAGAGAAAGTAAGACTTTTAAACCTCTTATTTTTACTTATGTATTAAAACTTTTTCAGAGAAAAATTTTCACAAGGGACGATTTTTGGTTTTGGAAGTTTTTTTTAAATATATTAACAACCGCTGGCTTTTTATCAATTTATAAATTCACTTTGCGCAACTGTTCTCCTATTTAACGGTTAAAGTTTAACCGAACTTGTAGCTCTTCAAATAAAAAAGATACCCCCTGTTAATATATGTATTTTTCCATTATTTAAAAAAATTTCAAATAATTTTCGAATATAAGGACCATATAGATGATAAGTAACTTATTTCTAATATAATAATTAAATTTGCCTAAAGGCATTGAATGACATGAATTCTACAATTAGCCTAAGTAACACAAATGGTGATGCCGTCGAGGAATAAACCAGATTTACGGCTAGACTAAAGCAAACACAATGCCGCTCGCTGAATCCGTTCGAAATGTCCATTAATTAGCGTGTCGCTATGAAATAAAACCACAACCACTCACCACTTCGTAGATTTGCTGCAACGCTTCCAAACTAACGATGGCCGTATCGAAATTGTAAACTGCGTTTTCGATTTCCGTGAAGTCGACGTGGAGACTTTGAGCCAAAATTCCCACGTTCTGGGATCGTTTACCGTCCAGCAGTTTCACGGGTTCTAATTTGTTCTTCTTCACTTCTTTTTTGATAGTCGGTTGTCGAATTATAACTTGTCTTGAAAATAGGTCCGTGAATTCATTAAGGTTCTCCAATGGGAGTTCGTCGATCTGGTTCCACAATGCCGATTTTTTTTCTTCGGTTGCTTCAGGCTGAGCCACTATACGAGTCCAGTACAGAGGTTTCATAGGTACTTTAGGCTGAACAGCGTTTTTTCTCAAAGCTACAACATTTTTTCGAAATTATCCTCAAAGATAGCGACAGTATTTCGCGATAAAAGCACATAAAATGATTAATAATTGAAACATGTGTTTATGCAAAAAAAGCAGCACCATCCTCATAATATAAATATCATGAATATCACCAAGCCAGTGTTTTAGTTTTGTCTTACCTAAAGGCGCCGGAAACGGAGGGGCCACTACACAAACATAAAGAAGTAAAGGTGCATTCAACTACAACTCAATAACAAAAATTCAAAAAAAATATGTTGAGATGATATAAAAAAATAATTACCTCATTGGTTCACAAACTATAACCAATATATCCAATTTTGCACAGTAAAAACATTCAAGCTCCTGCTATTCAGCTATTCAAAGTAAAAAGAACTGCTAACTGCTATTGTTGGCAAAAATTAGTTTTTTATAATATTAGAATTGTTAAGGAACTATGTATTTTACTGTGCTTGAGATTTTGGAAAAACCAAAGGCCATTAGGCTTTTTCTTAGTTTTTATTCCAAATGCACGTTTTTTTTATTCAACACCAGCAAGAAATATGTAGCTTCTAAAGGTGGGCGATATAATTAATTTCCCAATTCTGTGGGTAAAAGGCATAAGGGGATAAGTCAAAAAAAGCAATTTTTCGGTAGAGACTTAAACGTGTTCGCATTAATTCAGGAAATATATTTATGGTTAGCGAGTATACCCTTTTGCTAGCATATGACATGTGCTGGCAAAAGGATATACCCGCTAACCATAAATGTATTTCCTAAATTAATGCGAACACGTTTAAGGCACTACTAAAGAATTGATTGTTTTGACTTATCCCCTTATGCCTTTTACCCACAGGATTGTTCATTTCTTAACTTCAACCAGTGGGCGAAATTTCGCCCACGGACTGAAGTTAGCTTTAAATAAAAATTTAAAATCTTTATTTTTATTTTTATCTTTAAATTCATTTTGGTTTTTTAATGGGGTTGGGACATGATATCAGTGTGATATCGTGATATATTATAAAGGTTAGTCATTAAACACAACCATACCGTTAAAAAAAGATTTTTGCCCTGAATGTTTCTTTAAAAATGACTTAAAAATCAGTATTTTGGTAGGATGACGTTACGTTACGTTACGTTGTATAAATTGTGTTTGTTCCATTGTAAATTTAAGTCATTTAAAGGGGACTTTAATCCCGCGGTCCGTTCCTACCCCTAACCCGCACAAGCCATTTAGAGAGATAATAAAATAATTTTTACATTTAGTATTATTTTACAAGAAAGGCACTTTATTTTAACGATTCTATGCAGGGCCGGATTTAGCATGGGGCCAGCGGGGCCCACCATTTAGGGCCCATTTAGGGGCCCCCACCAATGCAATATGTAGCTTTTTAATGAAACGAATATGAAAAAATTTGGGTCGGTTATACCGCGCGAATCCTGTAATTTTCAATTAATTTTTCGTAGATCTAACTCTAATTTTTCGCGGATTTTTTATCGCTTATCCGCTTGAAAATCAGGATGTAAATTATCACACTCAAAGTTTTGGCGCGCGAAGATGTTTTTATATAGTCTATAGTCATAAGTTATGACTCAAAACAATTTTAAGCAGTTGCTCCTTTAGTGCTTTTCGTAACGTTTTTGTAAATACAGGAAAACAGTCAATTACTTATAATCTAATATTAAAGTAAGTTTTTGTCCCAGATTTTTATTGGTACATTGGAGTGCACTGAAATAATGTTTCGTGCTTTTCTTTGGACAAATCATTGTTTTATTGTTGATGATTTTGTATGAAAAACAGACAAATAATAGGGCTTTTGACGCACTTTTTTTCAGTTTGCGGTAAGTATTAAAAATACAAATAAATTATAGATCAATTTATATTTTACTTGAGTAAAATAATATTTTTTAATATATTATATACATACATATGTATAAGGGTATGTTCGTATTATTCAAAATATATAAAATATAAAGTATATAAAAACACTTTCATTCATAATTCTATTCTACTATCTACGTTTTTATAGTTTCTCAGACTTGGGTAAAATGTATATGGGTCAATCTTACAATAGGGGAAATTTTATGTCCCTGACTTGCCATGCTCAGTCAAGTGCATGTTCACCATTTTTTATTTTATATTTATTTAGGGGTTTATTGACCCTATTCATACACCTATTAACTTAATAATAAAATAAAACCAATTCGATACATTTTCCCTTTAATTACATAAATTGTCATTAGCGTGGATGTCCCTGGATATCCTTTCACCAGAATATTTTTTTTTTTGCAAATTAAGAAACTGTCCATAAATACTCTAGCATTAGTATATTATAGACAACACTTTTTAAGATATGTTAAGCGGGATTGAGACAAAAAAATAAAATTGAATTGAAAAAAAAACATTTCTTAAATGTGTCCCTGAGTTTGACATCATTAGCGTGGATTATAATGATACGTATTTAAAATTCCCGCTTACTTTAAATTTTCCAGTTAGCGACCGTTATTATAAACATTTTGGCATACGCTATTTACTTGATTTGGCGCCAAACGCGAACAGTTGCACAGTGAACTATGAAGTGTAAAGTTGTTATGTGTTTCATGGGCGTATGTTTAATGTGCATCATTGGAGTGCTAGTGACAATTTTGTTTATCTAAAAGCAATTAGAAAAATATTGACAATAATTAATGAGCAGTGAGAACTACAAAAGGTATGCATAATTTAAATTAAATTCATTAATCCATTTGCTGTCCAAAGAACCTTAACCTTAATTTAGTCATTGGCGTGGATATTTACTTGCATCATTGGCGTGGACTTTTTTGTCCACGCTAATGACGGACTATCCACGCCAATGATATTTTGTACGAATAATGATAATAAGATATTTTTTATCTAAAATCGGCAGTAAAGTAGTCAACAATCGACAGTAAAGTAAAAGAAATAGGCAGTAAAGTAGAACTTTAGTACCGATTTAATACGAGCATTGTATGCAAACCATTACTGCTCCTTAGCAGCAACTAAATAATATTTTAAAAAAAGCACCTTCGCGGAGATCAATGGGAACCTTTCATAAAATGTTTAAAAAAATAATAATAAGTTAATTTTATGAATTAAATTAAAAAATCGCCGCGGCGGGCAAATATATCATAACCCAAAGATAATATATAATATAATAATATAATATAATAATATATAATATAATATAAGATAATATATTATCTTTGTCATAACCATCGCAACAAACAGTATACCATGGACACTACACTCAAATGACATTCGATTCAAATTTTAATACAGAAGGTGTCTACTGTTTAAAAAGGTAAATAATTTATAATTATTAAATGCGATTTCGGATAAAATTTAATATCGTTACCCTAATTCGCAAAAGACGTAAGTCCACTTTTGAAAAACCGGGTTTTAGTGCCATCTCCTGTTCATGAACCTGCAGGTTTAATATCTACATAAACCGGCAAGTAGCATTACATTTACAATGGGTAGCTGCAATTTACAGAGACATGGTATCCAGGTATGTCTCCTTTTTTTTAATCAATATCGAGCACTGAGGTAAATTATTTTTAGGAATAATTGAGGATATAAATGGAGAAAACATAACTATTACCTTTATGGCAAGAAGTGGTAAATATTTTTATTGGCCTGGATCAACTGATCGACAAATCTTTACAGAAGCTGGTATATTATGTAAACATGATTTGCCACCAAAGCCAATTTCAAATAGATTTTTTAAAGTACCAAACTTCGAGGAAATTGATAAAATATGCTTAATTCATTAATTTTTTTTGTAACCAATGTTTACTTATAAATAAATATTAAATATTAAAAATATATTTTGTATCATTATTCAATGAAAACTGTCATTAGCGTGCCTCTTAGTCATTGGCGTGGATATGGATTTTTGAAAAAGCCCCAAAATTAAAAATTGAGCTCAACAGACTCATCATTTCATAAACTTTATTCATTTCTTATAAAACAGTAGTTTTTCAAAATTTTCTGTAACTGTTTTTTTTTTAAATTTCTTATACTCAAGATTGCTCCTATTATAAGAATATCCCATATAAGGTTCGTATTATTCAAAATATACAGGGTGATTCAGACTTGTGGTGACAAAAGCTCAGGGGAAATTCCTTTCATCAAAATATGAAAAAAAGTTCCTTTAAACACGTGTCCGAAAATGCTTCATTATCGAGATACAGGGTATTTCGTTTAAAAAAAATGAGTTTTTTATTTATAGCTTAAAAACGCTTTGGCCGATTTTATTAAAAATTTATATGGTTTATTAAATAATAAATGATTCAAGGATAATAAAAAAACACGTACAATTCCTCTAGCTTAAAAATTTACCATGAGTTTTAAAGTGTCGAAATTTTTAGAAATATTGAGGGCCCCCACCAAATGTCGGCCCCAGGGCCTCAAAAATTCTTAATCCGGCCCTGATTCTATGACATTTGACAACTGTTAAATAACTAAAAACTAACTTTAGCCTGTGACTAAAAATTTGTTGCTATCTTCACCCCGTGACTAAAGCAAGATAAAGCCACATTGTGTATTTAAAAGTTCACTTAGTGTCATAGAAACGTACGACAATGGGCGTTTTAAGGGTGGGAGTAAAAAAAAATATTTTTAAAATTTAATATTCCCACCTCTAGTATATACTTTTTTCGATTTTCCAACGATTTAAATAATTTAAAGAATATTGAACATAACCTAGAAACCATGCTAGAAACAGATCTTGGATTCATTCATAATTCTTGACAAATCTATTGGCGTCACGATCTTTCTTCAAGGTCATCGAAGCGTTTGGAATCTTGCGGTATTTAAAACGCTGTAGCGTTTTCAAAAATCGTTTGTGAAAAGTAGGAAACAAGTTAAAATAATAAACCCGTATGCGTAGACTTTAAATATGCAATAAAAAAATTGCATGTCAAAACCCTGTTTTTTATATTTCTTGCGGTAGTTGAATAAAATTTTGCGTGCTACTATTGGTCGAAACAGTTTACAAATGTAATCATGGATTTTAAATGATCGTAAAGCATAGTTTCGTTTTTCAAGTAGGTATATAGATTGCATTGTTTAATAAAAGGCCTCGAATGAATAGATAGGTTGTATATCTGCTTGGGTTCGGGATTACACAGCTGCTCTTCGCCAGCTGAATTTATTAACAATGTTTGCAGTCTCACTCTCGCGATGCGGTTCGGCCGATGAATTTATCGCCGTGCCTTAACCGTGCACGCAAAACTAACGGTATACAATGGAAATGCAACGCTCGCAAAGATGATATATTCCGAATTGTTATTGGCGCACAGCAAATGCACTAAATCTCAACGTTAAATAAGAGTTCCGGCATTGTGCCAATGATTTATATTGAGAATACCGACCGTGTTTATAAAGTATGTGCAAATTTATCAAAATATTTTACAATCATTTAAAATCACTTCTTAATGGAGAAAGAAATTTAAAAATAGATCCTACCTGCTTTTTGCGGCGCCCATCCTCCAGATGGAGGAGCTGGTAATGGTGCAGGTCCTCCCATTGGAGGAGGAGGTGGTGGACCCATTCCTGGAGCAGGAGGGGGAGGAGGTGGTCCACCCATACCTGGAGGAGGTGGCGGCGGTGGAGGTCCTCCTATTCCTGGAGGAGGCGGTGGTGGTGGAGGTCCCCCCATTCCTGGAGGAGGAGGTGGTGGGGGTGGTCCTCCCATTCCTGGCATTGGTGGTGGAGGAGGCCCTCCTAAGCTTGGTAAAGGTGGGGGAGGAGGAGGAAGTGCTCCTGCACCTGGTAAAGTTGTTTCATCTAATCCTGGGAATGGAGGAGGAGGAGGAGGTCCTGGCATCATAGGAGGAGGAGGACCTGGCATCATAGGTGGGGGAGGAGGAGGAGGTGGAGGAGGTGGAGAAGGTGTAGGAACGTCAGGTAATATAGAAGGAGGTTCAGATTTTTTAGGTGGTTGTGGCTCTTTAAAAAAAAACAAATAATCTATTATACAGGGTGTCCCATAACTAATGGACAATATAGCAACTGTAGAAATAGGAGGTCAAAATTAACAACACAAATATGTCTTAGTAAAATGTTAATAATAAACGAGATACAGGGCGATAAATAAAATAAAATAAAATTTGTTATATTAGGAAAACTATTCAATGTATCAAACTCAAAATTTGTACAAAATAGTTTTTAAGGACGAGAAATACAAATTTTTCATAATTTTTTTTGCTAGTCTTAGAGAGCGCTAATGACACATGTCGAATTGGGTGAATTAATACTTACTTTTTCGACATGTGTCATTAGCGCCCTCTAGGAGTAGCATAAAAAATTATGACATTTGTATTTCTCGTCTTCAAATTTTGAGTTTGATACATTTACCTAATAGTTTTTCAAATATAACAAATTTTCAAAAATTAGATCTCACATTTATCGCCCTGTATCTCGATTATTATTAACATTTTACTTTAAGACATATTTGTGTTAATCGACCTATTTTGACCTTCTATTTCTACAGTTGCTGTATTGTCCATTAGTTATGGTGACACCCTGTATATTATTTAGTGTGGGTGTTGATTTAATTTAGGGTGACAAATTAATTAAAAAACATGAAAAACACCTAACGGAAGGGTATAATAGAACCTTGGTTAAATTTTTAAGAACTACATGATTAAAAAAATAAAATTTTATGTTTTTACCTTTTGGACTTGCTTCTTCAAATTCATTTTTGTCTGTCGATGTTTCCGCATCTTTCATGCATTTTTGCTCGACTTCTTCATTTACCTTCCCTTCATTTAATTGTGCTTGATTATCATCATCGGTTTGTATTGCTATGGAGACCATTTTGGAATCGATTTCTTCATAGATTTGTGCCGTTTTCTTCCTTTCGACCCCCACAATCTTCACTACATTGCTACTATCACAGATCGGTTTGTTTTCTTCAATTGGCGAGCCAAAATCCTTGACGGCGTTATCGGTTAAAGTCTGGATTTCGACTAGTGTTTTGTATTTTTCTATTTCCTGGTGGAGTCGTTTGATTTCCTCCTCCAGCGAGAGGACTTCGACGTCTCGGGCGGAGTTTTTGAACTCAGGCCGATAGTCGATGTTGAGGCTCACACTGTCATTTCCGTTTGGTGATAGGAAAACGTCGGAATCGTTAGGAGGCCACGAAACCATGCTAAGCCTGCCTGGAGTTTGAGGCATTGAAATTGGCGTTTCTGCATGGGTCCAGTAGTACATACAATCAGGCTAAAAAGAAACTTGTAAAATACATTTTTCTGAGGTTTAAAATGAAGAAAATGTCATACATTGATAGTATTTCTAAAGTATCCTAAACTTAATGTACCTTAAATATGTTGGATATTTCTACGTCCTTATCCGGAATTTGCCTCAGCACACCAGCGGCCAACAAATGCGTGCAAAACTGAACAGCCAAAATCTTCAAATCAACTCCAGTCACCAATTCCTTAAAGTATTGATTTTCATTGAACTCGGAGATATACCAGTTGATCAGTTGGTAGCCTGTAATAAATAAAGAACAAGTGAAAAAATCAGAGCACCCGCTTGTGACGATGTCGGAAAAACAAATGAATTCTGAGGATGCATGGACTAGTGGTTACGTTATTTAGCAAATTCAAAAAGCATAGCTAACTAAGCTTTTTACCTTCTACAGTTCCGGGTTATAAACTGCGGCTTAATAAGTTATTTTTGAAGTGACAATGATGTTAGTATTTGACTTTTAATGTCTAATTGATTAAATTGTTACTTATTGAGGCGTTAATCAATATCGATAAGCCTATAGGCTTAGTTGGGCGCCAACAAATTATATACCTACGTTTATTTTTATTAATTGTAGAAATTTTATTTTATTTTTTCCACTATGTGAGTGCAATAAAGTTAATTATAGACTTTTACTTTTGTTTGTGTGGTAAACCGGCGAATGGTTTTAATAAAAATGTAAAAAATTACACAGTGCAACACAAAATTTTAAACAAGATTAAATTGTTTTTTATTCCTGAAACTATACCTCGCTGGGTTTGAAAAAGGTAGCAGCATTTTTTTTCTATGATCTTATAAAGTTTTTGAGTATTAGTTACTAATTGTAAATTAAATTTCGCTTAAAAATGAATAATTTTAGTCAATTACCTAGTTGATTTTTTGTTAAAAGGTTTTTATTTTTTTACAAAATTGTATTTTTTACTGTTTTTGTATTATACAAAGAAAAAGTAAAAAATGCAATTTTGAATAATACTTAGCATACACAGTGTTGCCAACAACTTAATGATTTTTTCATAGTTCTAGGGATTTTCGGAATTTTTAAGATTTGGTTTTATTCGTGTTGTTCTTTATTTTAATAAAATATAATAACATATTTAATCTATACAAAATTTGTACTGTTTGTTTCATTAGTTATAATATATAATAATAATAATAATTTTAGTCAATTACCTAGTTGATTTTTTGTTAAAAGGTTTTTATTTTTTTACAAAATTGTATTTTTTACTGTTTTTGTATTATACAAAGAAAAAGTAAAAAATGCAATTTTGAATAATACTTAGCATACACAGTGTTGCCAACAACTTAATGATTTTTTCATAGTTCTAGGGATTTTCGGAATTTTTAAGATTTGGTTTTATTCGTGATGTTCTTTATTTTAATAAAATATAATAACATATTTAATCTATACAAAATTTGTACTGTTTATTTCATTAGTTTGGTAATTGAAATAAAAGAAAATGTATACCTATTCTTTTTTGTAATTATTGTAACTAAGGAATTCTTTTACAAAACAAAAATTTAAATTAATTTTCTTAAATTAAAAAAAAGTGGGGTACACTAAAGAAAGAGATAAAAAAGGCAATTCAATAAAAACGAAATAAAATGTTATTGCATTAAAAATTCATAAATATAAATTATTTTTAGATAAAAAACGTTTTCACAAAGAGTCAAAATGAAAAACATCAAAGGAAACAATTGTTTAACTTAATCGTAATCGAAATATGACATATCAATTTACAATAAATTACCCAAAATTCAAAAACTTCCTGAGGCCATTAAAAAAATTTGAGCTTTAACAAACGGTTAAACATAAGGGTTAGGGTATATTATTAAATAGGTACACTTTAAGAAAACATCAGTGAAATCCGGTCTACCTCAAATTTGTCGCACAGTAATAATCATCACTGTATACAGGGGGTTTTATTCAAATGTTAATAATTAAATAAAGAAGCCAATCACAGACGTACGTGCTTTATCAGAATGTCAAAAAACTTAAGCTTAAAACAAAACACTGACAATGACAGTGACAACTATACAATTAAGGTTTCTAAAAAAATGTGTTTTTTATAATTTTTATTTAATTTTTTATTTCAGTATTCTAAATTGCAATATGTTTATTAGTTAAGAACAATGCCTCAACAATAAAAACAATGGGGGAGCTCATAATATGTTCAAATTAGGTGCTGAACATATTTTCAGCACCAAATTTAAATAAAAATAAAAAAGTTTTTTAACCAACTGTAGATTTTCCAGTGACGCTGTGAGTCTTGAGCAGAGCGGTCACCGCTAAAGTTCAATAACAAAAAAATCATAATCATAACTGTTCCAAGTGCAAAAGAGTGCAAATTGTGTGTGGTACCTCCCCCTGGATTACGTCCTCAAGTGTTTTACCTGTATAAAAGATGTGAGAGAGACGATCAGTTCCAATGAATAATTTCCTGGACTACCACACGTGCGGGCGGCATGCGTAAAGGATCAATTTCATCACACCTGCCTGGCAATTATCCCGAAGTCCAAGTCTGCATAAATTAGATAAGTAGTTACCAAAATTGCATGACCATATAATACCCAATAATATTAATACTAGTTAATACGAAATCCGCAACCTTTAACTAACAAATAATCCGTCAGGTAAAATTAATTAGTCGCAAACAATTTCCAAGACTCCCATGCACAAAAATGAAACATAGTAAAAAAAAATCTATTAACACAAGGGCACACATAAGAAGCCATTAATCACCCAAGTTACGATAAACATTAGGCAGAAGAAACCATCTTAAAGAAATAAACATCTTTAGATTACTAAGACGTAAGGGGACCATAAATTAGGTAAATAACCGTTCCATGAGTAAATAAACAGCCGCACCGCACAGTGAGAAAAAAATTCGAGGGTATCGGCAATTTCAGTAGGTTAAATAAAGGCGAAACAAACAGCTGCTTATGAAGTCGGTACTCGGCAAGAGGAGCTGAATTTCCACATAGTCAGAGGGCACTAATTACGGCGGGGTGCGGTCGGCAACACTTCGGTTCTAAAGATAAGACTCAATACCGCACAGGGGGGCAAACAACCGACAATGTATTAAAATATTAACGCAATCAAATACAAATTGTTAAAATGGCTAAATTTGCTAAAAAAATGTAGAAGAACTGATTTATGTCAAATTTCCATGGATTATAGAGAAACAGGTATTCTGATATTTTAGATAGTTTAGTTTCAATAAGCACCATCCAATCCAATTGTATCAAAAACATATTTGGAAACTTGTTTATCATTCACGTTAAATGCGCCAACATTACATTGTATTCTACGCTGTTTAATCATCGGTGACAAACCAGTAAGTAAGTTCTAATCCGGGACTCAGACCTGATGCAGTGCTGCATTTTCTAACCGAAATCCTGTTTTAATATCGTAAAGTGCAGCAGCGCCTTTTCGTGTATAAATTTGAATACATATTTGCATGGCAAACAGAGAGTGCTCTAATTTGGAAGAACCGCAAGTTTCGAGTCCCATTTGCCACTGTAGCAGAGTAAATCCAATTATTTCTAACGTAAAGAAGAAGGTAAAGGACCCTCCTATTTACTGTTAGTCAGTTCTGTTTAGGATTTTAACGCTACACTGTAGAACATGGGTTTGGGATCTCCTTGTTTAATTTACAAGTTTTGTTAAACATGTACCACATGATAATTTAGAGGTACAACATAATAATTTAGATTTAAATAGCTAGTATAATTATTAGGGTGGGCCAAAAAAACTTTTAATTTTCTTTTCTTTAGCTATGTAAAAATATCGTCCAAGATGACAAAAAAAAATTCTGAGCTCTTAATATCAATATTAAGAGGTGGCTCATCGCGATTTTTTATTTTTCATTTAAATAACACGGAAAAAAATATTTTTTTGTTTGGAATTTTATTGCGTTTTAACGAATCAGTGTGTTGTAGAAATCAATACATATTCTTGTAGGGAATTAAACGATCTACAAAAAAGATCAAATATGGTTTTTTGCATAGTCGATTTTTTTAAAAGTTATTTGAGGTTAAAGTTCAACTTCAAATAGTAAATGATGACTTTTATAGTTTTTCATACTCTATCATGAAATATTGTCTCAAAAACATGAAATATCATATTTTTCGTGAAGTTTATTGAGTGTTCTTCGGTAAAAAATGCAATTTTTATGAAATATCAATAATCGTGAAAAAAACGGTTTTTTCCTATATTAATTTTTTTTAAATATGACAAAAAATTTATCATTTTCTTAAAAAATAATAAATATTCTATTTACACTTGACTATTAGGTAATGTAGAGTAATAAAAGCCATGATTCAATAATTTTTCAATTAAAATAAAAAATGTTATTCCATAACTTGTACTTTTTCACTATAGTGATATATCTTAGAATCAAACTAAATTTTTCATGTTACAATTGGGATATTTTTGCCAGTGGTTTTTAACTACTCGCATTAAGTATTAAATATACATATATATATATATATATATATATATATATATATATATTTAATATATTTGATTTACCCATCAATAAGAATGTAGAATTTTGAACACAGGATGAAAGCTATCAAGATAATCTAGTATTTTTCAAACGTCTTAGCGTTCTCAATGATGTAGCAGAAAGAGGAGTTGCATTAATACAACAAATGTTTGATTCTAAGATAGTGAAAAAAGTACAAGTTATGGAAAAATATTTTTTATTTTAATTGATAAATTATTGAAACATGGCTTTTATTACCTAATAGTCAAGTGTACCTAAATAGAATATTTACTATTTTTTTAGAAAATGATTCGGTGTTTTTTTAAAAATCAAGTATAAAAAAAACGGGATTTCACGATTATTGATATTTCGTAAAAATTGTATTGTTTTACCGAAGAACACTCGATAAACTTCACGAAAAATATGATATTTCATGTTTTTGAGCCAATATTTCGTAATAGAGTATGAAAAACTATAAAAGTCATAATTTACTATTTGAGGTTGAAAAGAAGAAAAAAAATTAAAAGTTTTTTGACCCACCCTAATGATTATGGAAATAATAGATTGCCTTATTTTAACATATTTTTAGTTTTATGTTGGTTCTGTTTTAAGACCCGATAAAATATGTTGCAGATAAAATTTTTTACCAAAAAAATTTATAATAAAATTACTGTGAGCAAAATATTTTTGTCTATTTCGAGTTCTTAAACGCATCATTTACAGTGCTACTAAGAGCTTCTTAGAAGCATCAAAATAAGGGATTTTTCATTTCACACTGTTGGCACCGGTTTAATGTTCATGTCAACAAGTGTTGTTCTTCTTTTTCCTAATAAGGGTCAATGTAACACTTGTTTTACAATAATACTATTTTTGTAATTCTTTTATAACAAGACCCAAGCGAATAAAATGGATGCCATTTATGGAATTAGCAAGCCAAAAATACCCTAGAAAACATACTCAGAACTGCGCCGAATATTTTTTCTGTATATATATTTTGATTATAAATAATAAAAAATTAAAAAAAGTGCTGAAGATATAATAATAAATTACAAGGACTATATTTTTACATAATAAAGATATAGGCCTAAAACTATTTAACATTTTATGTAGGATTGTATGGTATTAAACACGAACATTTTCATTTCAAACCAAAGCGAATTGTTAATGCGTCATTAGTCTGCCCAAATTTAAATTCGCCTAGTTTTAAATTAACGCGGAAAATGAAAAGGCGGCGTAAAGTTAAATATCCATGTTAGTGATTGGTTGAGAAAAAGTGAGAAATGCCACTCATGTTTTGTTTCTGAAATGTGATGTTTTCGGGTTTATAGTTGATACACTTTGTCATTTACCCGTGGGGCAATTAGGGAAGTAAAACGTAAGTAAAGAATTCCATTGTTTGTAATAAACTTATATGCCCAAAGGTATAATTCATTCATTACTGACTGTGCAAAGGAAAATGAAGGTTTTATAGATTTGTTACTACACTCACAGGCAAAATAATCGATCCACACAAATTTTTGATGAATTTTAATCGCAAATAACTTTTTTATTTGATTTCGGATTTAAACAAATATTAAAGAATATTGTAGATACATTAATGGAGAATCGCTCACTTTTTAAAAATTACTAAAAATACACGTACGTTTATAATATACAGGTTTAAACAAAAATATGTTTTTTACCATAAGTTACAGTATATTGTTCTAAATTATCAAGTCACATCTATTTTTAACAGTTTTGTTTTTGGTTCATCTTGATATATTTATTTTTGTGGAAAATATGGATTTTTTTTAAAAAACATTACAGTTTCCAATATTTTTCCTGTATGAAGAACTAAGGTTGCTATGGTCCATCCATAGCCTACGGAGGATGACAGTGACAGTTTTGTTGAATTATCCCATACTTGGACATACATATACAAAAGCTATCAAATTGTTTTTTGTAAATTAATGTGTTAATTTTGAGGTGTCTTTTTACTTTTAAAAATGTCTCCGACTGATGTTGCCCGTTGTACTTTACTTCTCGTTACGTTTAAAACACTTGCCACGTAATACTGTGACCGTCCATCCTGGATTAAATTAATGGCTCTGGCAACATCAGTCGGGTACATATCCATTTTTTAAAGTGAGAAGACACCTCAAAATTTAAACATTAATTTGCAAAAAACAAATTGATAGCTTTTGAAAGCCGTGTATGACATGTCCAAGTATGGGATGATTCAACAAAACTGTCACTGTCATTCTCCATAGCATATGGATGGACCATAGCAACCTTAGTTCTTCATACAGAAAAATATTGGAAATTGCAATGTTTTTTTTAAAATCCATATTTTCCACAAAAATAAATATATCGAGGTGAACCAAAAACAAAACTGTTAAGAATAGATGTGACTTGATAAATAAAACTTAATTTTGAACAATATACGGTTTTGCCACTCTACAAAGTGTCATAAACTTATGGTAAAAAACATCTTTTTATTTAAACCTGTATATTATAAACGTACGTCTAGTTTTTAGTAATTTTTTAAAATGTGAGCAATTGTCCATTAATTTATTTACAATATACTTTAATATTCGTTAAAATCCGACATCAAATAAAAAAGTAATTTGCGATTTAAATTCATCGAAAATTTGTGTGGATCGATTATTTTGCCTGTGAGTGTATTATATAATATATTATAGTAGGGTCAAAATTTATTTACGGGCCAATTCCGAAAAATAAAAGTTAAAAAATAAAAGTCGGTGTATTTTAAAAAACCCCAAGTTTTTTAGTTGGTACAGGTTTCTTCTACCAAATTTTGTATGTGTCCGCACTGGATATGTAGGTTTCTGAATTTCCGGCATCTTCTTTAAGCAACCTTTTTTAACGCCGGTCACACGTTCAAATCATAGATTATTAAACAAATTTTGTAAAACGTAATAACGAAATAAAAAAATATTCATATTTATTATGAACGCATATATTGATGTAAATAAATAAATAAATAAAATACTTTTATATTTTGCAATTAATAAGAAATTTGAAGAATATTAAAAATAGGCCATGTGACCGTTGTTACGACACAAAAACATACGCATGAACTAATTTTTTCATAATTTGAGGAAAAATTAAGTAAATTTAATGAAAACTTACCTATTTAATGCAAAATCACTAGCAGCAAAGTTTTCGTAACACAAAATTTAAAGAAGACTGATATTAGCGCCTTTGGCGGCAAAAATGTGAGCGTATATGGAGTGCTACCGGCGTTACGCACAATCTGGGGGACACAGCTTTAAGGCACTACCGAAACTTTGATATTGTAAAGAGGAGTATAAGAAAAATTGATTAAAAAATTACGTAACTGTTTCTATATCGTAAATTATTTAAATATTTATTTTCAACTTTGGACAGTAAAATGCAACAAATTTAACATAATAAACAGACGACGGGGACATGTGACCGGCGTTACATTTGGTCATTTTAAACTTCGTTACTTTTAATTTTTTTATACAAAAGCTACCGTACTTTGTTTTTTACTGGAAAATATGTGCCTTTACACAGGAATGGTATGTGTAACCAGGTAATGCTTGAAAAAATTTTTTTTTTGCCAGGGACTGAAATGTGCCTGTAAATAAATTTTGACCCAGTAGCTTTATTCGGGGTGCTAATCCCGAATTAGTTCGGACATGGTAATCTGGTAACAATGTGTGGTATATGTTAGTGCGCCATTTTCAGGACACCCTGTATATATATATATAATAGCTGTTTTCGCGGAGCAAATCCAAAACTTGTTTCGGACCTCCCAGGTATGTGCAATTTAAAATTACTTAACTTAATTTTTTTTTTAAATGGGCATGCCTAGTTTGTCCGGAACAATTTAGAGATTTGCATTGTTACCAGATTCTGTTTTGTTTTAATAAGTTTGTTCTGTATATTTGCAAATAGTGCTCTAATAATTCTAAAATCCAATGTAATACAATTTTTATAGTCCTTTTTAACCGAATAAAATCAAATAAAAATTATCAAATATTGACCCATATAACAAACCATTTTTTGGGCTTTTAATAAGTAGTACATTTAGTACTTAGTAGTACATTAAAATTCTTGAGTTTGAGACATTTTTTCATAGATACTTAGATAATTTTAACGTTTGAAATTATAGGTTATGTGGATGAATTTATTCTACAGTGACCTGTAATTTTACAGTTACCTGCACTGATTTCAAACTGAATGTTATTGATGGAGCTACTCTTTTAATGTATTATTATTATTACAAATTTATTAGAAAGAGTGTATTACAATATTAACTAGTTTTATAATATGAAAATTGAAATACGCTTAAAAACAAATATATGACATAAAATACAGCAAATGCATCACTTGCAAATAAGTATTAATTCTTCATAGTTAAATTGTATTTTAAAATATACATTTTAATAATTTACATAAAATAACAAAAGTTATAAAACATTTAAACCATAACGATTTTTTGCCACACCTTAAGTTTTAAATCTAATTCGGTATTTTTTGAACATTACTTAATAATTCTCATTTATGAATTAAAATTACTTACCTACACTAAACACAAAACAGTTTTGCAATAGATATGATTAATTCCGCAAACTAGTTTTATAATTATTGCGAGATAAGATAAAAACAATAATAATAAAGTTTATTGGCTTACCTTCGAATTTTTCATACATTTGAAAATCCAACTTTTCCGGAACGAATTTCGGTTTGCACACCTTAGATTCCAACTCCGTTTTGCTTAAAGTAAAAGAGGCTACTTTTTTTAATACTAGGCTATCTGGTATAACTTTGGCAGGTTCTGAGGGCACTGACATGTGCCGTTTGTACTCTGGGTTCCCTTGAAAATAAAACAAATGTTTAGTCAACTTAACCTCTACAATAATATTTGTTGTAGGAAGTTTAACTCACCAAAACATAGAAAGAGAAATTAATAACTAGACTGTATAACAATTATTTACAAACAAACAAAACATTTTAATTTAAATAAACTACCTAATTAAATATTTAGATCACATCATTATTTACTATAATTATGCAGGTTAGCACCAAATAAAACTAAATTGGTTTTTGTGAAAATAAATATTGTTTACGTTTTTTACAACGTTTTTATAAACACATACAGCTTGTCTAGAAATTTTGATACAAATATTGTTTCGTATAAATTTTTTAAACACACTGTATATTTTTTTACCATTATTTAGGTTCACATCAGACATCCTCTTGACCATATGAGAAACTTTCTGGCCTTCATCCACTTCATCCTCTTTTTTAGGTTTTCTTTTAAGCGTATCGTCCTTTTGAAAACTGCCCAAGAAACCACTATCATCTCCATCATCATCATCCAAATTTACTACTTCAACGTTTTCGCTGGCGAAACACTCTTTGGGGTCGGCATCCAAGCTGATTTGACTCGTTTTAGAAACTCCCAGTTTTGAGAGCTTTTTCGCACGGACTTCCTCATGTCGAGCTCGGTATTCGTTTAACTTGAAACTGGTTGCACTAGTTTAGAATTAGTTTTTGAAATACGTTTTTAAATGCATTTTTTAATTTAATATGATTTGGAAAACAAGCCAATATAGTATAAAATAAAATGCCAAGCAATTAGTGAATAGTAAGTAAAATGGCGGGAAGCTAAACTAAGGAAAACTAGTTAAAAGGATGCTAAGCCAAAATAACAAGCTAATCTGATAATAGGTTAAAGGATGACTAACTAAAATATTGACAATATTATATACACTGGCCTACAAATTGCATTAAAAACAGTTGCAACTGCACTTAACATGATAAGTGCAAATGTCCCAAATATTAAAAAAGTCGTGTTGTCGGACGAAAATCAGAATGTCATTAACTGTTTGCCGATAATAAATAGAAATCATCATAATATGCCCATTTGGGAATTATCTACGTGAAGTCAACACTTTTATGAAAAAAAATATGGATTTTAAATTAAAGTCACGTATTGTACACCATATGACTTTGATAGACACAATTAAGGTTAATTTTCTGTCAGTGTCAAGTTAATGTCTTATTTTCTTAAAATATTAAAAAATATGTATTATTTTTACTACCATCTTTAAAACGCCCATTATTGTACATGTTTCCATGATACTAAGTTACTTTTTAAAAACACATTGACAAGTTGTGGCTTTATGGAGTTTTAGTCACGGGCTAGTTGACAAGTTGTCAAATGTCATACAATCGTTAAAATAAAGTGACCTTCTTGAGAAATTTTAGTACTAAATGTAAAAATTATTTTATTATCTCAATAGAAAAGTATTAGGTAGTTTCTTAGCGCCAATATTTGAAATGTTTATTTGAACATTGTACTGACCTTTTATTTCGCCGGCATTAAACTAGATTTAACTTAATTTTGGGTGGGGACTCCACCGTGGAGTGCCAATAAACCATTTTCTTTACTTTCACTGTGAGAAACTTCTTCTATATCGGATTAAACGGTCAATTTTCAAATGATACATTTCTATTTACACATACAATTTGACATTTTCACCGGCGCGCCGGTAATTCAGATTCCCAAGTTGGTTACTCTATTGTTTTATAGATGCCGCTCTATACAAATATTTAATTTAGATAATATTAGTATTTGTCGTAGAAAAAGTAATTATGCAATTCGTTTATAAACTTCTCTAGACACTCATTTAATTAAGCTAAAGTGACCAGATTCTGTCAAAAAATCGGGACATTTTGTGTAAATTAACCTTAATTACAAAAATGACAATCAAAAATAATTAGGTACCTAACGTCAAATTTACAATTTGCATTGAATCATTGTGTCAATTTTGTAATTAAGGTAAATTCATACAAAATGTCCCGATTTTTTTTATAGAATCTGGTCACTTTATTAAATTAAGCCTAAATTAAATTCGTGTCTAGAATGGCGTTTATTAAACTTGATACATAAATACTATTTTGTGTTTTAAATTTAGACCCTTATATTGCATTAAGGCGGCGCCAGACATGTGGCATTCGGCGAGTACCGAGCGACTGCTCGCCATTTGGCAAGGAGTTGAGGTACTCAGCAAGTGTTCGCGGAGTAATCACTAAATGGCGAGCACCTTAAACCAGATATTCGTAGTTCGTCATGTATAGAGTCTCTGTGGGAACAACGAGTATTCAGTATTGGCTTATATTTATTTATGGAAATGGATAACGATACAGTGCTATTAGCTACTTTTACAGTCATATCTTGTGGTAGTATGTTATTGGACAAAATAAAATCTAAAAACACAAACATTTTCTACAAAAACCCAATATAATTCTTTTAAAACCCGTTTTTTGGCCAACCCGGCAATAAATAATAAGAAACAATTCAGGACTTCAGGATGTGATAGCTCATCCAAAAAGATGAAAAAAGTCGCTATTAACCCTCTAAAATGCACAATTTTCGAGATACAGGGTGTGTAAATTTTAGAAAAAAAAATTGTTTTTTTCCAATATCTCCGGAACCATTTATCGTACAAAAAACAGATTTGTAAGCATTTTCTACTCATAATAAGCTATGTTTTGTGCCAGAAAATTTTTATTTTTACTTATAATTGGTGGAGATTTTGAAGGGGTAGCGGGTGTTTTCCTCCTCAACTTCTACGCCCCTGAAAAAAGTACGGTTTTGAGAGGCCCATTCCATCCGCCAATGTTTTCTACACAAAAAAGGTACTCTTTGTCATAAGCTCTAAAATTGACCGTTTTCAAGAAAAATCAACTTTTATGTTTAAAAACATGGTCAATTAAAAAAAAAATTTTTTTTTACTAATTAAACAAAATTTATTTTAACGTTAGAACAAGTAACAAAACCAAACGATAATTGCTAAATTAAAAAAAAAATAAAAATAATTCAAAAGTTAAATTAAATGTTGGAAATGTCCACCGTCATCTTCAATGCACGCAAAGACAACTTTTTCTGGCACAAAACATAGCTTATTATGAGGAAAATATGCTTACAAAAGCTGTTTTTTGTACGATAAACGGTTCCGGAGATATTCGAAAAAAACGTTTTTTTTTCAAAAATTTTAACAGCCTGTATCTCGAAAATTGTGCATTTAGAGGGTAAGTTAATAGCGACTTTTTTCATCTTTTTGGATGAGCTATCACATCCTGAAGTTCTGCGCGTATATTATGAAACACCCTGCATATAGATATTTTCTAGCTCTACACTTTTGCTTGCAAAATGACGAATATGTGGATACAGATTCAAAGCTGAACGGCGAATACTCGTTTACTTTGATGTTGTATAAAATACCGACAAACCACGGGAAATACAAGAGCACTCTACAAACACCAAAATTTGTCATCGGCAAGTAGGGACGAACCCGTCCACACTACTCGGCATTCGGCGAGCAGTCGCTTGGTACTTGCCGAATACCGCATGTCTGGCGCCGCCTTAATATTTAGAAAAAACAACGAAATTAGCTTCACTGACAGAAAACTAACCTAAATTAATTCTATCAAAGTCACGTGGGACTTTGATGAGATATGGTACATTTTGTTGAATTTTACAGTACCTTAAGCAATTTTTATAGTTTGTTTTAAGGCAAATATTTATGATAGTATGGCAAATATGTATGATAGTATGACAAATATGTTTGATAGTTTGATTTATATTGCAATTTTTTTGAGTGGATCAGTGTAAAATAATCGATAATCGATCGTGTTTAACATACAAAAACTCTAAAATTTAAATCTCTAAAAGAACATTTTAAAAAATACTTGGAACCATGTAACCTTTTAACCTTACTAAATTAAAATAATAAAAGGAGATTTATAGTGCGATGTTCTACTTTTATTTGTAATTAAGTGAATAGCAAATACAAATTAGTAAAAAACTTAACAATTAAACACATCTATTTTGTTTCCTAATTTTGTGATTTACGGTATTAATTTAATAATCTTTTTATGTAATCCTTATCTCCAATGCAAATCCATTTATAAGCTTCAACTAATCTTCTAAAACCTATCATACTGTGAGACGGGTCACTTAAAAGTTCTAAGTTATAACTACCTACACGGAATTAACGATTATTCTGTCATATTAAGGTCAATATCAAAAATTAGCAAACTGAACGATGCAGAATTTTTTTAGATGCGTTTGTGTGCATATCTCAATTTTGACCTAAAGTCTCGCGACGATATCTTAATTTTAACCAAATGTGTTTTATCATAAAAAACGCTTCTAAGTTAATTTGGAGATACGCCCTTCCAGGAATGTACGCGGGGTTTGCCGATTTGCAATAGTTTCAGTTTCTTTGAAGCTTCATCCAGAGAGATAATAGAAGCTGTAAACTCTATTAAATCAACCAATTCTGCAGGTGTAGATGCAATTTCTGTTAAGGTTATTAAATCAATTATTGATATTATAGCGGAACCCCTGCCATATATAACTAAACGCTCAATAAAAAGCTGCACATATCCAGATATTTTGAAGATTGCTTGTGTTACGCCAATCTTTAAAAAAGGAGACGTACATTCAATGGATAATTATAGACCTATTTCTATATTAAATTCCATTTCCAAAATAATTGAAAAAACTGTCTATAATAATAATAATAATTTATTTATTTACGACTAAAAAGTTAAAGACATTTGAATATGATTTCCAGTAAATAAATAATAAATAACCCCTTAAGTTTAACTTGTCTGGGGACCTTAAACATAAAGTTTACATTACAAATAATATTTACATTATAAAAGTTATGTTAAAATGGTTTCATTTCTTAACATAAATGAAATCATCACTAGTTCGCAACATGGATTTCGTAAAAAATGTTCAACAGAAACAGCATCTTGTCAACTTATTAACTATATTTATGAAGAACTTGACATAGGTCATGTTATGGGACTATTCTTCGACTTAAGCCATGCTTTCCACGTGATAAAGACAGATTTTCTTTTAAATAAAATGCATCATACGGGTTTGTTGGATGAAATCATATTTGAATGAACGTAAGTTCTTTGTTAAAATAAAAAAACAAAGTCTCTGACAATATGGACAGTGATATGGGGGTTCCTCAGGGCTCGGTGTTGGGACCACTCTTATTTTAGCTTTTTGTTAATGATCTTCCGAACTTCATAAGTGGGAAGGTGACGATGTATGCAGATGATACATCTGTAGTTGTGTCAGAAGTGAGCCCTGATAAACTAGTCCAAAACGTTCAGGAGGTGAGAAATCAAATTGCGAACTGATGCTCTAAGAACAGACTTATACTTAATGAAGAAAAAATTAAATACGTCTATTTTTACCCCCGTAAAAACTTTATTAACTTAAACTTTAACTTGAATTTAAAAGGATGTGTCAAATTTCTGGGAGTTTTCCTGGATGCTCAGCTTCGTTGGGAAGATCATATATTGACTCTGTTTGCAAAAAAATCAGTATTTCAATATTTGCACTAAGATCACTCTCTCGTAATTTATCAAGGCAAGCTCTATTAAACTATGGCTTTATTTATCCTACTTTGTTTTATAACATAATATCTACTATGAGGCAGAGCATCGACAATAAACCGAGTATTCGTACTGCAAAAAAGAGCAATCAGAATTATTTTTAACCTTGACTCCATCGAATCATGTATGGGTGTATTCGTGAATAATAATTTTCTCACAGTTTATGGTATATATATACTTAATCTCATAAAATATTTCCGTTCCAACTATTTCAAATTTTTATATAACAACGATTATAACAAATATAAGACAAGAAATGCCTCATGCCTAAGTGTTCCGAGACTCTGTTTGAGAAATCGCTACTTGGAACAAAAACCTACCATGTAAAATAAAAACAATTACAAATCCTAACAAATTTAATAAAGAACTAAAAAATAACTAAATGTCGGGCGATTTATTTGTTTTTTTTCTGATTTTTTGATTGTTTCTATACTTTTAATTTTGTTTTGTACAATCTTGTGATTTTTGAAATGTTTATATATTATTTGTTTGACCTGTCCTATAAATACTATTGAATTTCGTTTGAATCAATAAAGATTATTATTATTATTATTATTATTATGAACAAAATATTGTCAATTTCATTTTTTTTAAATACCATAAATTACAATATAAAGTATACTAAATTGTATTGTCATCCAGTTGTAAGCTATGTTTTAAGTATCTAGCTCATTGGGAAGTTACCTACTTTAAAATTAACATGGACAAACTCTCAAGAAAACAAGTGAAAGCATCTTAAAATAACTTTTTTATCTGAATTTTTAAAAAATCTTCGACAATTATCTGGTATTCTTATTATCAATTGAATGGGCATTGGGACACATATTTCTCGGCGTTGAGATATTTTCAACCAAATTTGACTTTTTTTTAACTCGAGCTATGATTTAAATTGTAATAAAATATTGTATTAGAAAAAAAAATAGTGTCATTTATAATAATATAAAATAATGACAAGTTAAACGATGTCCAGACAAAATGACAAGCTAAAATTATGATAAGCAAAAATGACAATAGGTAAAAATGATGACAATTGCTTAACCTAAATTAATTACCATCCTAATTAATGACAAGCTAAAAGGACGGTATACCTATAGGTACTATAATATGACAAGACAAATAATGACATGCTGAAATGACTACATTTATAAGCTAGATTCCAGCGTACACGTCCGAGTTGTATCATAAGAGTTTCTTGTTTAGATGTGTAAAAGCATCTAACAAAATACCAAACAATATAAGCACAATTAATTCTATAACACAGTACAAACTGGCTCTAAAGACCTATCTGTTAATCCATTGTTTCTACTCGTTTAATGAGTTTTTAAATTGTATAGACTAACCTTACCATACTAAAATCACTTTTTACATATTTTTGTTTATTTATACTTATTATCATGTTAAAAAATTTACTTATTTATATTGTTTACTATACCTACATACTAATTTATTTATCTACTTGTTTTTTATGGTAATTGTATTAATTGTTTTAATTCATCTGTATATTTATTATGAACTCTTACTTTTATGTAAGTTTTTTAATTCTTTTAAATGTAAACCAACAAATAACACTGTAAATCTTCCTTGACCTTGCCTATGTCACCCCCATGATCTGAATGGCAATAAATATATTATTATTATTATTATTATTATTATTAACAAAAATTAAATTATCCAATAACAAGCTAAAAAGGCTTATACGCCGTATAATATCTAAAATACTGACAAACGAAAATTGACAAACTAAAATATACAACCTAAGTTGAAAAGTACCTAAATACTAGACCAGCTAAAATGATAAAAAGCTAAATGATGACAAATTTAAATGATTACAAGTAAACAGGACAATAAACAAAAATGACCAGTTAACGATTTAGGCCTGGTTATACATTAATTATTCAAGTTCAATTATATTTTAACATTAGCTTTAACTCGTTCAGTTGCTTAGTAACAATAGTTTAGGCTTATAAGCTAATTTTAAATATAGGTGAAACCTAAACTTATTAACAATAGTTTAGGCTTATAAGCTAAGTTTAAATATAAGTGAAACCTAAACTTAAATTGTACAACCGGCCTTAAGGCTAATAAACACTAATACACTATAGTGTATGTATAATACAGTTGTATTATTTAAAATATGATGTCAAACGTCATAAAATAAATAGAATACCTATAGGTAATACATGGCATTATATTTTTTACTGTATACCTACAACGTTAAAAAATGCATTTTAAGTAGGTATTGTTTTCATTACCTGTTTAAAGTAAGATTGTGCAAAAAGTTATCTTGTACTGTATTAGGAACTTCAACATCTAAAATACTTTCTTCACTTTGATAGCATTCATTCAACTCAGTACTGAACCCTACAGGTGTGCAGGGGTCGGTAAAATTAGAGTCAGAACTTGAGGACACGGCACTGGGTGGGGAAACTTTGGTTTCCGAATTTATTGCAGCTTTATTGGCCTCTCTCCAAGAGTCCGTGATTAGAGGTTCTTTTCTTGGAGGTTTATCCGGGACTTTTTCGGGAGGCTTTGGCGCTAATTTTTTGACGGGTTTTTCTATCACCACTGCTGATATTTCTTCCACTTCGATATCTTCAGGTACTATCCCCGTAAATCTCACATCTTCTTTTGATTTTTTTGCTTTTGCCAATTTGATTTTTCCTTTAATTTTACCGGGTGATTTTCCTGTTTTTGGCTGCTTACCCTCACCTGTCTGTAAGTTTCCCATTATTATATATTTATTATTATTACTTTAAGCACTAGAATGTATTATTGAAGCGTATTCTATGTCAACAAACTACATTGTAACGATAACATTTTAACAGTAGAATTGCACAACACTAATTAACAATTTGATTAATTTAATTCCGCACAAAATTGTTGTTTTATCACATTTTATGGAATTCCTGCAGACAGGATCCATTGTAACAGAAGTGAGCGCGCCGGCGCAATTTTTCCGAATCGATTTTGGCCTGCCGAATATGACATTTCGTTTGTTTTTATTGTGTGTTGGGAATGAATAATTGAAGTTAAAAATAATGGTTTTAGATAATAAATGTGCTTGTTCTGAGGTCAGAAAGTTCATTCATTTATCGGAATTGGCTTATTTATTGGCTATTTTGGGGTTAATAGTTACTTTATTAAAAAGGAGAAGTGTTGATACGGATTAAGATAACACAAAAAAACTTTTATGTAAACAAAAGTTTACTTTGTTTTTTTATGATTCATTGTTTTATAACTATATAAATATAAGTTATCGTCAATAAATAAATTAAGGAAGTGAGTGATATGACAATTTTATTTTTGGATTTATCAACTAAGGTATTTCCTTTTATTTATAAATATATTTATATAGTTGGGCAAATGCGCATTTTATCTTAAAAATTATACCCTTAAAAACGATTTAATTATTATAATTATAATTAAAAATATCAAGTCATAAATGAAGGAATGAGAACAAGTTAAAAAAAGACCAAGCTAAATTGTTAATAAGTACACTATACCCAAGTAAAATTTTAAATGCAAAATGCATTTTTTTAAAAAGGTTTTATCTACTTCTTCATTGACGAGAGCTGTGACTTGGCGTTTTAGTCACGGACTGAATTTAGCAACAGAGGCTTTTGACCATTTTAGTCACGGGCTGAAGTTAGATTTAATATAAATTTAAAAAAGTGAGGTTAAATCAGTTGACAGTTGGGCAAATTTTCGTTAAATGTACATTTGCTGTCCCCACCCAGGTAGCACAACGTGACATTAAAAATTAGAAGTGACGAAAACGAGACAATATTTCGTTACGATTAAGGAAATTTTAATAAAAAGTAAATAAATTGCGTGACGCCAAATTCGTGACGAGGGGTCTATGAAAATACGTGACGAATTTTTTCATAAAGTCGTTAGTCACACGAAATAGTGATAATTTTACTTTAAATTTTGGTATAAAATTCTTGACGTGCAGCTCGTTACAAAAACGTTACAAAATATTTATACAAATCGTCACGAAAACATCACGTAAAGTCGTGACACCAATGCGCAGTCGCCAATAGTCATATGTTCTGTGCATCTCCAGTAGGATCTCCATCCTTTTTCTATGATCTCCATTTTGAATGTTTGGTAACGACCCAAGCCATTGGTTTCTGTAGGTTTTTCTATATTTCTGCAAAGTTTTTAATGGTAAACAAAAGGATAGTTTAAAACCGTAAGTACTTTTGCTTTTCTATATTTCAGTAGCTTAAGACAATTGTCTGCAATGCTAAACAACTCCACACTAATCTAAGAAATGTTTTGCTGTAGCAACAAAATATAAGTAACCACAACATTTTTAGTGTGTTAATATATCCTTAACAAATTTATTATTATAGCTTAAGTATTTTAAGTTGAATTTCTACTGAAAGAGGAAAAAATACATTTTTTTGTACGTGAAATAAAATTTAACAAAGCCATGGAGAAAACAACTTATTTCTTCTCATTTTGCAGGTCAATTAAAATTAAAAAATTACACTGTTTTACAGTCGACACTCTGGACACACTCCACACAACTGGATAGGGGCGAACGAAAACTTTAGACTAAAAGACATATTGATGGCAAACACAATTGTCTTGGGTTGTCTCGGGGGAAAGAAATATTACAAAGGATGACGTTGAAAAGCACATTATGCACATTAAGCATACATATGATAAGATGAAATCACAGGTTTGTACTTCAGCTGAACCCTAGTGTTATTTAAGTAAGTTTATTATAAATAAATGTTGCAGTTAAAGAAACTGCAGAAATAAAATAAAAATTTTATACTACATGAATTATTAATTGACTTCATTCATTTCATTTTTTAATTTATAAGAGAAATACTTGTTTATTTTGTTTTACTGTTTTTTATATTAGGTATATTCTAATAAAATAGTGTTTTATTCTACAGGAGAATTATATTTTTGTGTACTGTTTTATCCTTAAAATAGAAAAATAATTTAATTTTTTTTTCAAAGATATGAAATTTGAAAACTAATTGCAATTATTGCTGGTTTTCAAAAGTGGAGGTATTTTTATTGTATAAGAGTAATATTTTTTTATTTTGTTAGTGTTTTTCTATATATATATACAGGGTTCCCTCTCACCTGGAAATCCTTGAAAACCTGGAATAGTCGGGGAATCCGTTTAAGTCCAATAAAATCAGGGAAAAGTCAGGGAATTTTGAAAGTCAGCGCAAAAGTCAGGGAATTTGTTAATATTATGGTAAAAGTCAGGGAAATTTATAAAACGGCTTGTTTTCTGACCCTTTTTCGTTGAAAGTCGCCGTATTGGCAACACTGGTATCGTAAACAATTGTTTTCGTACGGCGCTGCCGTAACGGCGGTAATTATCAAGGATTTTACACAAAAAAATTTTACACACTAAAAAATCGCAAAGCAATGCACCTGATAAACAAACTAACAATTAACAATAATTAAAACAATTGTCATAATTAATTTTAAATTGTTAAAGTTTGTTGTGAATTGCTTTGTTGAATATGGTATATTTGTATAAATGTATACCAAAGAATGTTTTTTATGTTTGTACCAAAGAATCTATTTTATGTTAAACTGTTTTTATTAAAATTTTATTTTAATTTTTATTATAATATTTAATTTTTAAATAAATATTAACAAAAATAAACGCTATTTTTGACTTAACATAATTCTGATGGGACACTATTTTGGGAGATAATTGTCTTTATGTCTTTCTTTTATTTATCTGGAATTATAGGGACTTTGGTCAGGGAAAACCTGGAAAAGTCAGGGAATTTTAAATGGTTTTAAAAGAGGGAACCCTGATATATATATATATATATATATATATATATATATATATATATATATATATATATACATCCCGCCTACAATGCTGCGTCAATACATTATGAAATTTGCATTCAATGCTGCGTCAGGTGTAATGCTGCGTCGTATATTGACGCAGCATTACATTTAAGGTTTATTTTACTGGTGACGTCATGACAATCCCACACACCGTTTTTAAGGGTGACGCAGCATTGATGGTTTTTTGTAAAATACGTGTATATTGAAGTTTGGCAGTTTGCCGCAAGGGTGCGCTTTTAAATTTGGTGTATATTGAAAAAGTGAATATTTCTTTTAAACTTACGGTAATCCTGCATCACGTGAAGCTGACAACAATGTACGACGCAGCAACGTCGATACAATGTACTTAATATTATTCGACGCATAAATAACGAAGATCGTTAAACGAACGCAGCAATGCTGCGTCGCATGTGTTAATGTGAATTTTAGTATAAGTGTTTGGTAGCCAGTTTTTTTTATAAAATTATTATTGCCAAGTTCCTTTTAATAATTATATCTATAACTTTAAGAATAAAAAAGAGTAAAAATAGTAATATTTGTCCCGTTTGTAAGGCCTCCAGCCCAGGGATGGTAAACTGACGTAAAAATTGGGTTTATTACATTTTATACATTGACTATGTAGTAAATGTAGTATGTAGTAAATCGCAGAACATAGTAAATTATTGTGTAGTAAATGTAGTAGGTAAATTACGTGATTGGTATTTTGGTTGAAATCATGACTGTTAATGAGAATGTAAAATGATTAACACAATAACCTAACTTCTTACTCAAAAAAACGTGGTTTTGTGTCATTCTGTGAGCTGTCTTTTAAGTTTGACCTGTCAAACTTAGAAGTGGGCTGTGGGCTTTTGTAACTTTGCAGGTTGATATAATTTGTTGTTTTTGTCAAAAGAAATGACTAAATACTAATGAACTAATACAATTTTTTTTTAAAAATATTTTTACTTATGGATATTTGGTTTTCTCTGGGACGGTTCCAACTTTCTTATTTTAAATAAAAATATCCCTTTTATTTGCATTTTTGGATTCCACATACTTTTTGAGTCATGCTCTGTAAATATATTTTTCTAATCATATTAAAGAATTTGTACATTTCCTATACTTTTTCAATTAAGAAAGTGGGTCAGTCTTAAACTGTGGAGAAAATTGAACTCTTTCTCCACGGTATACCGCGGTGGTATAATCCTACTAGGATTTATCATTACTATGACGATTACACGGTGGTTCATTATTTTCTTAAAAATTAATTGACACTGACTTTTGTAGAAACTTTCCGCGCACAGGTAAAAAAAGATATAGATATAGCATATTTTTCGATATTTTTTTTCCAAAAAATATTCTAAATTAGCTAAAAACTTTCAATCTTTAAAATGCTCTGTAAAATTGTTAAATTAAAGATACGCTACCATACGATAATTGGGACGATATGTGATAACAGCTACAATAATAATAATGATATTATTCAAAGACGAAAGTAAACAGCTGATTATATTTCAGGACGGAAAGTAAACGGCTGTCCTAGGACAAAAATGTGACGTTTTCAAAATATTAAAAAGACACCATCCTTAGTTTTTTACATACAATTTGGCCCTTTATATTTTAAAAAGGCAAAAAGTTTAAACAAATTTAAATTATAAATATTCGTTACTCCTAAATTGATTAATATTGATAAAAAACAAAAATTGGAAAGTTTAAACCGTTTTGACTTATTCTAAGACGTAGTTAAATAAAGATTTAAAAATCCTTTAAAATAATCCCTTTTTTATTCAAGGTTTTGGTAAAAACGCCTCCTTAGATTAGGAGCACTTTTTAAATTACAATTTAAAAAATGCTTTGGCCCGTGAATATTTTATAAATTGTAATAAATTGTAATTAAAAAAG